ACTTGTATTGCACCCAGACTCGGCTCAAGTTCAACGCAATTAGTGTGTTGAGCGATCTGATTGAGGATTGAGAAATACGTTGAGATTACACATTGTGTATGAAAATGCTGAGATTTTCTACATTAAAGATACCATGCAAGTGCACTTGCACCTGCTTTGTTAACTTGCTTTAATAAAACTAGTTATTTTGCCTTGAAAGTCCAGTTCATTTGCAGACGTATGAATGTGTACTCTAATTCCAATGCGGATCAAAAAAGTGAACTATAGTCCAACTAAAAACTGTGGTCTCTGATAAAGTGAACTCTAGTGTGGTTCAAATGCATACAAGTGTCAAACGGTCTGGTGTTCACTCCAAAACCAAGAAAGGAACAATATTGCAAGTTATCTTGGATAATTTCAACCAAAACAAACACTTGAGTCTAGCGCTAGCTGGAGAAATGGCTCGAGGTCTTCTCCCAAAGATAAATGAGAAATCCTACAGCCTGGAAGTAGCTCTGTGTCGTCTTCAGAGGTTTTTACGTTGTTTCTTTAGTGGTTCTTTGCACAGCGCCACCTTTAAGGGTTTTGTTGGTTTGACACAGTGCAGTGTGAAAACAAATTGCACCAGCTGAATATAAAACAAATTGTGCGACATTGGTCTCCAATCGAACCGGGTAGCCTGATTATCAGGTGTGAAAACTCCCTTAAAAGCTTCGGAATCAGTACAGTTGTTGTAAGACCACGAAGAGATCGCAAAATGCCAGTTGACTATATTAAACAGCGGAAAACTGAATCTTTGCATGCTGACTGTGGTTAAATGTTTTCTCTCCTTTTTTGTTTTGCATATCTAAATGCACAGACCCAGGAAACGAAACCACACTGATGTATAGTAGGAGGATCTGATCTACCTCGACCCATGCCTTTGTTTATTAAAGCATATCCTTCCGGTAATTAACCGAAAGTACATCCAAGTTTTCACTCTTGATGTCTAAAGCAAAAGCATGGGTGCAGCATTTTTAGTTAAACTTCTGATTTCTCTAAAGTCATTCATGAAGATTACTAACACTCTGTAGGTGTAAAGAAGTGAATTTGTGGCTGAAACTTAACTGCATCGTGTCACAAACAATAGGTCTTTTTTTTTTCTTTTCCTTTTATTTTTTTTAATCAAAATATGTCAGATTTTGTAATATACGCCTGGAGATTTGGTAACCTCACGATGGCATGTTTGAATGTCTTCATAGGTTCACTAATGTTCCATTATATTGATCTTAATGAGATGCTATAGAAACAACCATAGTTTTCTTTGGCTTTTTGAAGCATAGTGCAAAGCAACACCTGTTGCTGCACACTGTCAGTCAACTGACTGCACTTTTCTGCAATTTTCAGTTGCCAAAATCACATCGTTGAACACGCCTTGACTGGAGTAAATGAACAGTTTCATCAAAAGTGAACTCTCCTATTGCTGGGGTAGACATAATTCCTCCTTTCCAAGCAACTAGTCCTGCTGTTTATTTTACTTTTAGAAGATCACTTTGTTATGTCTCCCTGAAGTAAGACTTGAAGCGGTACATGGCGATCCCGTTGTCAGCTTTGTTTTGTTGAGTCATTTCTGCCAGGTTCATAAATGCTTCAATAAACATCTGTGTGACATGCTTATTAGATTTTCAGGCTCTCAGCTTGTTGCCTCCCACGTGTGTATTATTTAGCAGTTCTGTGTGTTCACAGGTGAATGAGTGCTTTGACTAAAATGGGTTTTCTCAAGCTTTTGGTATTTTGGAACAGTGTCAGCTACTGTGCTACTTGTTCTGTGTAGAGATTTGGGTTTTTAATGATAACCCCTCTACAGGACAGAAACTCACTATATTTAGACAAGAGTAATTCACAGAAAAAAAAATATTTTGATTCAAAGAAAAAAAAATTACAATTAAATAACTAAAGTCAAATATTTATTTAACTTCTTTATTTTAAAATTAGGTGTATTACACATGTGCAAATGTGTTCTTTTTATTGTTTTCATTTTTAAAGTTTTGTATATTTTCGTTGTCAATTCTGTAGACGGGTGAAACGGAAGTCAAATTCCTTGGTGGTTGTTTGTTCACAAACCTGGCCAATAGAGCTGATTCTGATTATTAATCAAGAACACATAAAAATACTTGACTACAGAAGTAAGCACATTACTATAAATTGGGTTTCTTGGATGTAAAAGGGAAATAAGAATGAATAAAATGACAAAGCTGATACACAAAAATGGGGGCTGCAAATTGGTTAGAAGTTTTGTTTTGAATTTGAGTACATCGCCTCAGCTGGCAGTAAGTTTCCATTTACAAAGAGACACGTTTTTGAACATTTAATGAGTAATTCTGCAATGTAAAAAGGAGTTTGTTTGAAGCTGAAACTCATGTGGTTGAGTTTGTGTAAAATGCCCAAAAAGTACCACTCTGACTGTATCATTCTTTGTAAAAACAAAACTGAATTTTCTGCAGTCTTGCTGTTTAATGTCACTCCTACATATTACTGTATGTGTGAGTTTCAGGCTGAAGACAAACTAACTGGCGGCTGGCTGTAGGAGGAAATTTCTAAAGATTTAAGATGTGATCATTACTACTTGGGCTAATCTATTAATGAGTTCAAAAGCTGGGTGCTTTAGCGCGTTTCTTCTTCTGTGGTGGCCCTGTGACTCACACCGAATAGAGGCCAATTCCAAGACGCCGATAAAAACCACAGAACATCAACCCTGCCTCTTCTATAATCATGCCACTCCCAGCTATCCTGGGAGAACATTTTTAGTGAGCTAGAAAATCAAGAACAGCATCTTATTTCTATAAATAACTCTTAATAGATGCCTGTTTTCAAAGGTTTTGTGTGGTAAGTTTCACAAATTACCAAACAGCTAATCTGCACATAGTTTTGAGTAGCAGAATTTCCAGCCTTCCCTCATGCTTTTAAAAATTTTTTTTATTCAAGTAATTCTAAGTCTTTACCCTTTCATCAACCTAGTCATTTTCCACAGAAAAAAAAAAGCGTACGTCCCAACTGTAAATAAACAAGCTCACGTTATGTGCTGTTACCTCACTTATAGTTTCTTTTTTGTTGTGGGGAGATTTTCTATGAACTTCCCCCTAAGAGCAGCTTTCAACTGCAGCCTACACATGTGGGACCCGTGAGTCAAATCGGAGATGAATCACATGCTCAAACATGACTCTTATTTTTCAATGACACATAACAGGCAGCTTTTTTTGGTCAGGAGCGCTGAAGCTGTAGGGAAAGTTGAAATGAAAGCACTATGGGTTGATGGGGAGGAAGAGTAAACAAAGCAGCACCAGCCAGGCAAATAAGCAAGCCTTCAATGAGTTCCTGTACAAAAGATGTATGTTTCAGAACAATAGGAGAATGAGACAATCATTGGAGTAGTACAAACAGTACAGTAAGTTGTGATGTCAGCAAAAAGTTAGTGTTCTCAGCTTTGATGAGGCTTTGCAAGCCTCAGCAGAGCCTAAGTGGCCTCAGCAAGATTGTCGCGGATTAAAGTGGAAAATAACAGTTTAAGAATCAAAGTGATTCATGCCTCAGACATGCATGTGTTTTTTTTCTTTTTTACTGCTCTAAAAGCAGTCATGTGACATGTTTTTGTTTTTTTGTCATTGTGTGCTTGAATTTTGTTATTTAGAGCTAAGAAGATTTAAAACCTTTGACCCACTTTAATCAGATATTTACATCTTTAAGGAATATAGAACAGTCTTTGCTCTTTGCAAACATTTTGATTGCAAACTGCTGATTCATCCAATTAGCATATACAAATAAGCCAACGCTTAAAGTTGACAGGATTTCTGTCAGGGTTGGTGTGCCTAGAAATGCCATCATTTCTCCAGCATTGATCATATTTGATATTAAAGTTGCAAAGATGTGGTTTTGTGGAGGGTGCAGTGTGTTTGGGTGTTTCGTGATTAGAAATGTCACCATGTGATGTGTCAGATTTGTTGGCATTTCCCCATACACATAACCTTATGGTGACATTTTCAGTTTCTCTGCTTTATTTTGTCATTACAGCAAGACTCTCCTGTCATTTGGGTTCAATTGAAATTCTAAAATACTTAAAAAAAAAAGGAAGAAATTATTAAATCATCAGTATCCTTGTAAAAATTTTATTTCTTCCAACAAGTGCAGTATTTCTGTTTTTAATAATTTGTTTTTTTTTATTTTTTTATTTTTTCATTATTTTGAAGTGATTTTATTAAATCATCAAATTAATTTATTTGATTTTCAGCAAAAACAGTACAATTGAATATTAACTGAACATCTACACAGTCAAAGTAAATAATTCATACTTTTAATTAAAATTTTTTAATTTTTTTAAAAAGATAAACCAATGCATCATATCTCATTACAAAGTGAAAGAAAAAATACTATATTTTTACAAACAAAACCCTAAAAATTGTTATTTTCCAGTCTGCTTTAGTCTGATACTATTAAGTAAAATCCAGGGCAGTCCGTTGTATTCAGTCACCAAATTAGAAAATAGTCCACCGGTGTGTAATTTAATCCAATCTAGGTCTAAACACAGATGTTTATATTTGTTTCTATGTTAAGGACTCAGTGGTTTTCTAGAAAACATTATTGGGCAGATGGCTTATTAAGGTCAACAACCACACCAGACAGTCTGGAATAAAGTTGTGAAGAACTTTATTTATTTTCTTCAATTCAAATCAGGTTTTGATTTGTGAAAAATTGTGAAAAGTATTTATCCTCGTCTTCCCGGTAAACAGTCATGCATTTCTTTGTATTGCTCTATCACATCAAATCCCTACAAAATCCATTAGAGTGGCTGTAGCAAGATCAAGAGGTATGAATACCTTTTATGCTGTGTGTAGTGTACATTACAGAACTGTTGAAAAGTTACTATTGCTCAAGTTTTAGTATGTTTTATGAGTCACGTTTTTTATGTTTCTGGCCTGAGTGACTTGAATCTGATCCACACAAACACTGTTTTTATTACATTCCCTATATTTTTCTTCTCTTCTCAGGAGCCGTTGGGCCCCAGGCCCTGTTCTCCATGCCTCGGCGGCCTGGCTATGGCACCATGGGGAAGCCAATCAAGCTGCTGGCCAATTGCTTCCAGGTGGAAATCCCAAAGATGGATGTTTACCTTTACGAGGTCGACATCAAGCCTGACAAGTGCCCACGTCGAGTGAACAGGTTAGATCTGGTTCAGCTAATGGAAATCACTTCACATCTATTTAGAACAAGGCATTTTACTGATGTCTAATGCTGCACAGCTGGCAGTAAGTGGGTACATTCGTTTGTATTATCTAGTTAACACATAAATCTAAGTACTGGTGACCTCTTCTTGGCAGAAGCGTAGATATAGAGTCCAACTCAAAATCACTTCCAGCTAAGCAGATGTTCCTGAACATGACTCACATCATTGGTTGGTTTTTTCCCAAGTGATGAACATTAGAAACATCCACCACTGTTCCAGAGCCAGAAGGTTTTTCTTTTCTTCAATTCAGCTTGCAACTTGTCAACTACTCGTTTGATCCTCTGCCCTGTTAAAGGCACTACAAACCGGTTAAAATGTGTGACTACTAGATGCATGAATAGCTTTTTCCAAAAGCCATCAACACTCTGAGTCAGTGTGCACCATGACACACACCACATCCTGCATTTTAAATTTGTAGTATTTTTTTTTTTACATATTTGTTGTAATGACTAACGCACCTCTTTAAAAAAAGGAGAAAAAAAAAGCAAAACACAAGGCGTCCTGACCTGGATTTAGCTAAGCAGAAATGTGTTGGTCTGCTTTTGGCAAAGTAGTGTCATGATTCATCAAGGGATTTAACCTTAACTGCTGCTGGGAGTAGCTTTTTTCTCAACTACTCTTTTGACTACTTGAATTTGTGGAAAGTTTGTCCTTGTGCTTCTGAGGGTTCCAGTTATTAGTGAAGCAACAAACACTAAAGAAGTGACTAAAACTGTGAACCACATTTGTAAATCTGACAGGATAGTGGTGAACAATCGTCTTTGAGGAAGAAAAGAAAAAGAAAAGAAGAAAATGTTCTAATTGTTTGTGACAATCACTTCCAGGGAAATAAATTTAAATTATTCCAAAACTTGGTTCTTTGTGAACCTCGGCAGATTTTCTAATGCAAAAATGTTAGTTTCAAAATTTTCTTTTCTTGATGGTGGAAATTGGATCATAGAGTAGCCAAGTTACAAATTGTGAAAGTAGTCCATATTCTTTCACTCGTTAACTGACTTCTTTAAAGATGATTGCAAACTTTTCATATCAAATTTTTAAAAGAATTTTTGTGAACCACGAGGTCCGTTTAATGTCCTGTCCGCTGTCTTTTTTTTTTTCATTTACTTACCTTCCATTATTCTGTTTTTGTTGAAATCTAGCTTACCTAAACTTTCTCCTGCTGGGCTTTAGTTCAAGAAAGCAGGTGTTGTTACAGTCAGTCTGTCACAGGCTCTTTGTAATATCCAGAACATATTACTGCTAATACTACTCTGTCCTCTTCTTCTTTGTCCTTTTGTCTTTTCAACATTAGTATTTTAATGTTGAGGCTGTCTGGTTTTACTTCGTTTTGCTTGTTCTGCTCTCCTCTTCTCTTTTTCTCTGACATTGCTCATTTTATATGCAGTAATGTTTAAACCTTAAGTTTTACGACTTAAGGTTAATTATTAGAAAAAAGCAAATACAAAATTGTTATTGGATCAATGTATTGAGTCGGGCTGAAGCGATAAGTCAAATTAATTATGATGAATTTAATATTGAAATAATCGGCTAAGTATATATAGTACGCAGATTCTACACAATTGCAAAAAGGCTAGTTGCTAAGATATCTACATATCCAGAGCAGTAACAAAACTAAAACTGTGCCAAAAATGTTCATAAGATAAAAAAACAACAACTTTTTTTTGTCAGTAAATGTGTTCTACTCAGAATTCAAGTAGAATAGTTGTAAATAAAGGTATGCTGTCATTGCACTTTAGACAAAAGATGTTTGTCTAAAGTGAATTGGATTGTTAGCATTTTCAACTTATTTCTAGTATTGTCCAAAATATGCTCTTAAGTGGGTGAATAGCCAATTTATTCGATTAATCATTGGAATAAGTGATAGTTTAATCGATTACTAAAATAGTTGTTACTTGCCGCTTTACGATGAAGCAAGTTGCACCTTCATGAGGCCTCTGTTCCATTTAAATCAATAGTTACTAGTTTTAGATACCTCAGTAAACCTTAATACCACTTATGGTCTAACCTTTAAATTATCAATAAAAGGAGCAACTGGGGAGAAATAAATGCTGTAGTTTCTTATGTGCGTCTCAAAATGATGTTCCAAGCATATCCAATAAACCACATCTAACATTAGATTATTATACAACAGTACATTTTTTTCCCTTTAATTTTGAAGTGTGCTTTGTGCATTTGAAGCAGCCTGTGTTTGTGTTGTTGATTGTTTGAGGATCTCCCCGTCTTGCTGAAAACCTTGGATTTTTTTATGCCATTCAGGGAGGTGGTCGACTCAATGGTGCAGCACTTTAAGGTCACAATTTTTGGAGATCGGAGGCCGGTCTATGATGGAAAGAAGAGCTTGTACACAGCCAACCCACTGCCTGTGGCACCGACGGGGGTGAGCCGTACAATGTTCATTGAATGCCATACAAATGTTCATTGAATGAAAACAATTGATTGAATATTCGTACCATTTTTGGTCTTTCTTGACTGTTTTTGCTTCGTCCCACAGGTGGACCTTGATGTCACCCTTCCAGGCGAGGGAGGCAAAGACCGTCCCTTTAAAGTTTCCATCAAGTTCGTGTCTCTGGTCAGTTGGCACATGCTGCACGAGGTGCTGACGGGCCGCAGCATGCCTGAACCGCTTGAGCTGGACAAGCCCATCAGCACCAACCCTGTGCATGCTGTGGATGTAGTCCTGCGGCACCTGCCCTCCATGAAGTGAGCTGCTGCTGTTTTGTCTTGTGGTTAAATTAATATTCAATTTTTTTTACTTGTATTTTTCTGGAAAGACCCATATCCTCCACTGGCTTTTTTTCTAATTAAGGTTTTAATCTTTGATCATTTACAAGCAGTTTTAGATAATTAACTTTTATTGACAAATTTACCCTCAAGGAACTAGAGCATCTATCCTGAGTTTTCTCCACTCATCTTCTTCTATCACAACTTCTCAAAATAGAAAATGTAATAAAATCTGTCCCCTTAGATATTCTTAGTAAATGTCATGTGTTTGTGTTGCCATAGTGGCTCTAGTATCAGCACTCTGATACAAACGGAAATCAAACACATCTTTTATGAATGTTTACAAAACAACATACTATCTTCCAGTCAATACCTTTTTCCTGAGGCACAGCATAAGATGGAGACCTACACAATATTGCCGGAGGAGTAATAAAAACTCTTTCAAAGGGTTATTAAAAGGTTGTTTTTATCAGCATCTTTCATTTAGCTCTGCTCACAGGTGCTGGAGGCTGAAGGTATTACTTTGGCGTCTCCACACATCATCAGTGCAGGAGTCGGAATAAAATGTGGCCTACATGCAGTATTTAATGTGTCTTTTGCGCAAAATAATGAGAGGTGGATGTGCTGATGCTGTGTCATCAGCTTCTCATTTCACTGGTGCTGTCTGAGATTATATTCAAGATAAGGTGACTGTGACACCGTAACAAAACATTCTGATGTATGCTGCCAAGTTAGGATGTCATTTTCCTCTTACCTCCTGATAGTATTTGTCACCTGCTGATTTGTTCACTTTCTTATCTGTGTTGAGATTCCTTCAACATTTTCTAAGCTGTCTTCAAACCTTTTGCTCTCCTCTAATAATTGTTCCCTTTCTTCGTTCAGGTACACTCCAGTTGGCCGATCTTTCTTCTCAGCCCCAGAGGGCTATGACCATCCTCTTGGAGGAGGGAGGGAAGTTTGGTTTGGCTTTCATCAGTCTGTGCGCCCTGCCATGTGGAAGATGATGCTAAACATTGATGGTGAGAAACCGCTTCTACTTTTCATTTTGTTTACTTACCCAGACTTCATAAAACACATCAATGCTTATGTGAAATCATGGCAATATTGATTTTTTTATTCAATTTTTTTCTGTTATTGGGAATTGAGATTCTAATAAGGAAGCTTACTTTCAAGCAATTTTTAATCACTTAACTGGAAAAATAGTCAACATCATCACAGTGTAGGTCTAATCTGTTAAGTAAAGCAGGGAAACTGGTCCTGTTTATTTACCTGCAAATTCATCTATGATACAAATGATCAAACTTACACTAAGAGACCATTATTGCATTTCATGCAATAAAATGCATTCAATTAATTTTTGAAAAAAAAATTAATTGAATTATTTTATGTATTTTTAATCTCGTATAAAATAATTTTAAGTGGTTCAATAAAAAATCTGCAGAATGCCAATGTTTGTATCAAATTAAAAACATTGGTAATAAAATAAAATTATCAATAAAATAATAATTTACTAAAACAATTGTTAGCTGGATTCCCTTTTTCCCCTATTTACCAGCACAATTCTTAAGCGAGTAATTTCATAAAATGGAGAGAAATTGGCTAGTGTTGTTAATAGTGATAGCCATCATACAATATTGTATTTTTTTTTTTTTTGGCAAAACACACTTAACTTGGGTGTGATATTGTTCCAGTACCCAAAGTCTAACTTTCCAAAAATTGCAGCTTGAACTCTTATTCTTCTTTCTCTGGATTTATACTGTTACATACAATATCCTAAGAAATCAAACTATAGTTCCAGCTTTCTTTGTTTAGCTTTTAATCTCAGAAATTTACCTTTTGGGTTAAAGACTCTGCTGGGGCCAAAGACTAATTACTGTAGGGAATTAAGTTAGTTTTATAGAGACCCTGAAAATGCTAAATTTGAAATGTGGTTTTTGCACCTGCTGCTTTGATCAGGGAGCTCGGAAAAGGAAAGGTGGTTTTCACCATGGTTGCTGTGACAGTTGATTGAAACTGAGGGAAGCTTGTGTATGAATGTGTTGGCGTTAGCTTCAGTTGTTGAGACTTGTGGGTGGTTGTGGGTTGTTGGAGTCTAGCTATGTGCAGTATTTCCTTAACACAGCTTTTGTATTGCTGTGAATGCCTAAAATCCCTGGTTGAATTTAGGTCTTTGGCTCTTATCGTTGGATCCCCTGTTTGCCCTACTTTTGACATTTATAAAACAGCTGCCTGACCCAAGACTTGTCTAATCTCCATCTGCAACAAGAAGTTTATTTGCAAATCGTTCAGTGTTGCAATATGTACTGGAAACATCATTTGACAAGTGGGTCTTTACCAAATCTGCAGTGTAGCTGCAGTGAAGTTAGATTAGGTAATTCATCATAACAGCTATAGTAAAAGTTAATTGCATGGGAGGTCAGTTGTAGTGTCATCACTTCCTATTTTTGAAAATCGGAGGTTCTTCAGTGACTCTCAATTCGATGTTTGTTCATGTGTCTCTTTTGGATCATAACATTTGTATCATTTTTAGAAAAGCTATTTATGTATTTTATTTTACAGCAAAACCACTCTATTGTATTTTGCATTGAGTTTTTGTTAACGAGATAATCGTGAAAATGGTGTATTTGTAAATATTGAGCATACAGTAGAAGTTATCATCAAAGATTTCTGTATAAATCTTCATTCAGAAACTTGTATTTTGTGTCTCTGTTGCAAATTATTTGATATCTACTTTTCACCTCCTGATTTAGCTTGTTAGCCTGTGACTCAAAACCAAGTCATCATGAACATATGGTCCTGCAGAATGGTGAACCTTGTAGTTGGAGTTGTCATGCCAACAAGAGATGCACCAATTAAAACATGGCAAACTACCGATCTGTTTTTTGTTTCTTTTTTTTAATTATTTGGCTTTAACCTGCCAATATAATTTTCATGTTGCTCAAATTTCCCTTCAAAACCTTGATTTAAAGACAGCATTGAGACTGTTTTTCTTGTCTTTCTGCCTTGACACGTCATTAATTATTTGCACTTGGAGCAAAGGCAATGTTACTGTGTGTGTGTGCCTGGGTACCGGTTGTTGAACAGGATTTTACACAGATTTTAAAACGAGGACAAAATGTTGACATTTTAATGTGGCTATCAGTACTGTCAGTATGGCTAGCATTTCTAAAACAGAGGTGTCTGTGTTTTACCTTGAGATTGCAGGACTTCATGTCTGAGATGTGAAAAACTGCAATATTTCAGTTCCTCTTATCAATTGGACGACTTGCTATCTCTCTTGCAGCATCAGTTCCCTGCAAACTGGTCATAGGAAATAGTTTTGCTATAAATAGCTTTTTGCATCACTGATATTTGTCATTTTAAAACATGTTTGATGCATTAGGTTTTCACAATTTTCTTTTCAGATATAGTTTTTCTATTCTAAGTAATAAGCATGTCAGTTAATTGCATAAAAAATGAAAATGAGCTAGATGGTCACAAAAGTCTTGTAAAAGGCAGTTTTACCTGCTTTTCCTTACCAATCTAATGTTTAATGTTTTCTGAAGGGACAAGACCTCATAATCATATCTATGATTTTTATTATATTTGATTATTCCAATTTTATTTGATGTATTTTATTGTTTAGTTTTTTTAATGTAAAATGTCTTCTAATTCCAGTGTAAGTTGTTCTTTGTAAATTAAAGTTTATAGATCTTTGAGAGGGCAAACCTGCATTATTACACAGTTAACATGATCATACTTACAAATTGTCTCAAAACAACAATATTCTTACTTTATGCAGTAACTTTTGGGAGAATTTATTATGCAGCAAATTTTTTAATTGTGACAAATCTATTAAATAATCAATAATTGTTCTTTCTGTGTCTTTCAGTCTCTGCCACCGCCTTCTACAAAGCCCAGCCAGTTATCCAGTTCATGTGTGAAGTACTAGATATCCACAACATAGATGAGCAGCCTCGCCCCCTCACAGACTCTCATAGGGTCAAATTCACCAAAGAAATCAAAGGTGATGCAGAGGATTTGAGATCTGCATGTCAGAAATTGAGTTTTAACTCAGTTTGAAGCGTGTGTGTTTACTTGGCGAGAAGTTGAACAAGATTAGCTTTAGCACATGACACAGCCATTCACACAGGAGCATTTGGTTTTAATTGACACCTTGGTGATGTCCCCCAGGTTTAAAGGTGGAAGTGACACACTGTGGAACGATGCGGAGGAAGTACCGTGTTTGCAACGTGACCCGTCGGCCTGCCAGCCATCAAACGTGAGTCAGTGTGTTGGCATGCAGTAGGCCATGAGGGGAGGACAGGGGACAGGGCTCAAACTGGGAAGTCATCATCAGCTCGCAAAACACTGCAGATAGAAGGAGACTCCTTTGATTGTTTATTTTATTATTTTATTTATGGCTGAACAGTTTGTCAATACTCAACTTTGATTTCTATTGGCTGAAAAAATAAAAAAGTAGATCAGCAAACGCTTAAACTCAGGAGTCATAATTCATTGTTTTGCTAGCATTGCTGTAACATCTATAAGTTTGTATAATTTGAAGTCTATAAATATATGGAAATGAGAGTTTCCACTCATGGATAGCACAGTGTTAAAATGGATCTGTGTTTTACTTCCTTAGGTTCCCTCTGCAGTTGGAGAACGGTCAGACAGTGGAACGCACAGTAGCCCAGTACTTCAGGGAGAAGTACAACCTGCAGCTCAAGTACCCGCATCTGCCCTGTCTACAGGTGGGCCAGGAGCAAAAGCACACCTACCTGCCCCTGGAGGTAAGAGAAAACAAGCTTTTCTTAAAAATCATTTAATCAAATCTATGTTAGGAAAAATAAATTGAACAGCTGTAAAAATGTGTTACATTAAGTAAAAGTCCTTTACTGGCTATATATTGAGAAATAAATGTAGCTTTTTTTGTTTTCTGTCAGGTCTGTAACATTGTAGCGGGTCAGCGGTGCATCAAGAAGCTGACGGATAATCAGACTTCCACTATGATTAAAGCCACAGCTCGCTCTGCGCCCGACAGGCAGGAGGAGATCAGCAGGCTGGTGAGTTCTGGAAAACTGTTCAGAAACTACTGTAGCAGACCATTTGTGATATTAGAATTTTAAAATATAAAATGTGTATAAAAAATCGATCTGCTCCAAAATTCAATTCACAGCATTTAAATGTAATGGAGCTAAATGTAGATGTGCATAGTTGTGATGATGCAGCAATCACTTGTCCAGAGACTCAGCCAATTTCTATTCATAAAATGACAAAACATGAAAAAATAGAACCTTCTGTAATGTATTTGTTTTGTTTTGAATGGGGTAAAAATATGATGGTGTATAGAATGGGAATGGTCTTTTACTTGCTTAATTTTATGTTTGATTCAAACTGCAGAAATTTGTTTTCTCTTTCATATGTTTTAGTCTTTAAGAAATAAAAAAGAGGAATCTGCCAATGTCTGAATCTTCAGAGGAGACATTAAGAAAAACTGGCAATTGATATTGGCCAGAAGAAGCCTAATTTATGTCAATTGATCTGGCCTTTCATGGCTATAGGGCAATAATGCAAACTCAATGAGCTGACTCATTTTATTTTAATTTCACAAATAAATAAAACAAAAACTCACTACAGTAAACATTTGATAAAGGTACAAGTTTGACTACCAAAGAAAGTGAGGGAATTATAAAGTTATCTTAATTTTATACTGACTAATCATAGTAATAATCCAGATTATTATTATTATATAATAATAATAATAATAAATTACATTATATTATTATTAGTAGTAGTATGTTATATCGCAGATTGTTTTTTTTTTTTAGTTATGAGAAGAAGGGATTAATCTGTGTGTAGGAACTAAAAACAGAAGTTCTCACCTTTGATATGTATAATTAGTACAAAAAATTTTGTATTTTTGTTATTTGTTCACAGATCTTTGTTTAGAAGAAAAGAAAGGAAAATTGGCAGCTTCTAATTATTGGACGATTGATTAGCTTGACATGAAATCGAATAGAATAAAAAGCCTCTGTCGCGGTGCGCCATACGAAAAGATTTTATGGAGAAGATTTATGAAATGTTTGACAAAAATTAGATGAAATTGTCAGCATGTTTTCTCTCTGCAGTACGTCTTAGCACTATCTAGTTCTACTATAGAATATTTGAACAGAAGCTAATTGATGGAAGTTCCGCATCTTCGGCTCCATAATACTCTCTGCCCATCTTTGTGGTAAATTACTGGTTTTATAATCACCTCACTCTCCCTTGTTCTCATTTAGTGTTATTATGGGAGGCATGTCTCTGTGCTTCTCCATCACATTTGACAATTACAGCACAGATCTGCCCAAGGTCAGAAAAATGCCCCAGCCTAAATGGCTTTAATGTGAGTCTGCGACTCTCTCAACAGCATGTTGTTTATAAGAGAGGCTGAAAAACTGCGCTGATTGCCCAAGGCTTCCACTGGATTAACAATAAACATTGTAAATGTGCTGTTACCTTATTACACTCCCCAGCTGTTCTCTGAAAATAAAAATGGCTAGATTAGAGCGGAGGAGATCGTTTCAAACAGGACATGTTTTCATGCTCTACAGATTGAAACTTACAGGATGAAAAAGAGATTCAGCCTGATAAGGTGTGTGTGTGAGAACTGCATAATGAATCCTATAGAAGATCGTAAAGACTCCTGACATTTTTCACTACAATAGTGAAAATGGTTAGATTGAGTTCTCTTTCTGTCAGTCTCCAGGTGTTTTTATGCAGTGATTACATGCCCAGCATCGACCTTGCTTACCATTAATCCCTCGCCTCCTTTTCCTGCAGGTGCGAAGTGCCAACTACGAGGCAGACCCATTTGTGCAGGAGTTCCAGTTCAAAGTGCGTGACGAGATGGCTCATGTGACGGGGCGAGTGCTACCCGCCCCCATGCTGCAGTACGGCGGCAGGGTGAGCACTGAGCACTTTATGGTACCCTTCTTTTAAATCACGCCCATTCTCTCTGTTTGTCTGACACGCTCTGCCCCTCTGTCTCTGTGGGGAACTAATCACTGGCTTCTGTTTGTATTTGATGTCCTGTTTTTTTTTGTTTTGCCCAGGTTGAGTCTCAGTAGTGTAACCTTTAATCCAATTTATATAATTTAAAAAAAAAGGTTTCTAGATCCAAAGTATTCCTTGAAATGCCTTGCTGCTGAAATGTGCTATACAAATAACATTTGATTTGACTGATTGATTAAAGACTTCAATTATGAAGTTAAGTATCAGAAAAATTGTTTTGGATTCCCAAATTATGTTTGACTGGTGTAATTTCCAGCATCTTGGCATTAATGCTTGTCTGCATAGATGACATGAAACAGATTTATTTAGTTAGGATAAACTGGAAAGGCAGCCTATTGAGACTGAACTACATTTTGGATTAACATTTATTTATCCTACTGGAGGAAACACACTTTTTTTTATTCACGCACACCCAAAATTTGCTTCTCACAAGCTAAATTGCATCAGACTAGCAATATACCAACATTTAGAGTTCATTGCAATAAGCTAATATGACATTTGAATTTAAAATCTTATTTTGGTATCCTTTAATGCTTTTATTTATTATTGAATTAATTTTTCCAAGTTACAGTGCCAAATTTCTCTGTTTTCTGGGATTTTATGTTATGGACCAACACATATCAAATGTGAAATGGGGGGAAAAACAGTCTTAAAAATTAAGAAAAATCTAAAGAGTTTCCAGACATAAAATCCTCAAGAATAGAAGTTAATGAGATACAATGTGGTAAAGTTCAAGCTATTTGACAACTTTCACCAGCTATTGTTTGTCTCAGTTTAAGCTCCAGTGAATAAGTGATGTAGTTGGTGGGTGCATGAGTTTAGTGCTTTTTTTTTTTTTTTTTTTTTGCCCCCAGTGTTGTCACTTTTGTTTGTCTGTTCAAGTGAGTCTTCTGAACATTTTTTGCTCACTTAATCTTCAGTCCATGTGTTGAGTTTGTGATGTCGTTTCAGAACCGCACGGTAGCCACACCCAGCCATGGGGTTTGGGACATGAGGGGGAAGCAGTTCCACACTGGAGTGGAGATAAAGATGTGGGCCATTGCTTGCTTCGCCACACAAAGACAGTGCCGGGAAGAAATTCTCAAGTAAGGCTGCTTCCTCAGCCTGATATCTAAGGAAGAAAAGTGCATCACTTTAAACACTACAGGAGTAGATTTTAAATTTCTTATGGCCTTGATGATCTGATGTTTTTAGATGCATGTTCCTCAGTGATTTTTTTTAATCGTTCAATCTTGCTTGCAGGGGTTTCACGGACCAGCTACGTAAAATCTCAAAGGATGCTGGGATGCCCATCCAAGGCCAGCCGTGCTTCTGTAAGTACGCCCAGGGGGCCGACAGCGTGGAGCCGATGTTCAGACACCTGAAGAACACCTACGCAGGACTGCAGCTCATTATTGTCATCCTGCCTGGAAAGACTCCGGTCTATGGTTAGAAAACTATTACAATATAAGCATTTTTTTTATTTAAATGCAAATAGCTATGCAAACAGTTCCTACAGAGCTGTGAGCAGTCTAAACTTCACTTGATACTTCACTTTGAGTCTCTGCTTAAACTTGAGTTCATTAAACAGTTGTCATTTCTAGCTTTCAACTTTTCTTCATTTTTTTTCAGTTGTTTGACGGCTACATTTTAAATTATGTTACTATGACATTTTAGGTTCAACACTGTGAAAGGCATATGATGGATGTTCACTTGTCAGTAAAACAAAAACTCTAAACATGAGGCCTGATTTACATATTCATGTGCTAGAATGGCCCAATCAAAGTACAGACCTCACTCCAAATCTGCATTTGTCTTCAGATAATCTAAATGATATTGGGTTCTTTTTCAGGGCAACATCTTTCAGTCTGTAGATATAGAAATCTGGTAGAGATGTAATCTGAAAGAATACAACTGCAGCAAAATTGTACTAAGCATTGACATAATCTTTTTTTTCTTCCACTTCACGATGCTCTACACTGTGTTCTTACAAAAATTCCCAATCAAATATCTGGAATATATGGTTGTAATTTGAAAATAAAGTTTAATACTTCTCTATGAAGTATTAAATTTATTTAAAACTGTACAAGATCATTTAAAGTGCATTTTTGTGTTCAATCATCCAAAGCTGAAGTGAAGCGAGTGGGAGACACCCTCCTGGGCATGGCGACTCAGTGTGTTCAGGTGAAGAATGTAGTGAAGACGTCACCTCAGACTCTCTCCAACCTTTGCCTGAAGATCAACGTGAAGCTGGGAGGAATAAACAACATCCTGGTTCCTCACCAACGGTTGGTCATGATGAATTTTCACACCCTTCCTTCACAGTTTGTTTAAAATATCTCTGATTAATCTGATGTTTTTTTTTTAATTTTTTTTAGGCCATCAGTGTTTCAGCAACCAGTTATCTTTTTGGGGGCAGACGTTACACATCCGCCAGCTGGTGATGGGAAGAAGCCTTCGATTGCAGCGGTTAGTTTCTTGTCTATTTAGACATTTTTCTGTTTGTTTCTCTTGATCTCTCTCTCTCTCTTTTTTTTTTCCTTCCTGTGTTTCATCATCACTACTCCTCTCTCAAATGTTTCCTCTCAGGTGGTTGGTAGTATGGACGCCCACCCCAGCAGGTACTGTGCCACGGTGCGTGTCCAGAGGCCCCGGCAGGAGGTCATCCAGGACCTGGCCTCCATGGTGCGGGAGCTGCTCATCCAGTTCTACAAGTCGACCCGCTACAAGCCCACCAGAATCATTTTTTACAGGGACGGGGTTTCAGAAGGCCAGTTCAGACAGGTGTGCTCCCTCTGACAAACTTCTTCAAATTTTACTTATGAGAATAACAAAACATAACAGGAAAATAATTTGTTGCTCCAGGGTTTTGGATTTATCCCGGGATAAACTGTTATAGTTGAAAGAGGATTTTCCTGGTTTGTTTTGCCTTTAATCTTGCTGATTATTAATTGAAACCCAAATATAAAAACTGTTCAGTAGCTTTTTCCTGTTATTTTTACAACATATTTTATGACATATTTGTACATTGGAACATTTTAATCTTGGGTGTTTCTTTTTGTTTGGTTTTAGAACATGTATTGTTAAACAAGCACATTTCTGTTTTATGTGATAATTGCTAATATTACCAACAGTCACAGAACATTTTAAACTTTTCATGTGACAGAATTTTAAATCTAAAAACATTAAACTCAAATGAAATGTTTTCTGCTAAGTTATCCATTTTTGGATAACATGGCTATTAAGTGACTGAAAGCTGCATGTACCAAAATAAATAAATAAATAAATAAATAAATGAATAAAAATGGGAGAACTTCCTAATATAAAATGTGTTTAGATTATTGCAGTTGCTTTACCAGACCTCTGCATTTGTAAATATCCCACTGATCGCATCACTGTGTGGAGGTAACAGCTGCTAGTCGTGCTTTGCTGATCAGTGCTGCAGCTGCTGCAGCCTTGAGATTAGTTTATACTTGGCTTGCCTGTAATATTGTTGGCTGTTTGCTCTGTTAGAACCAAAACTCATAATAAAGACTAACAGCGACCCATAGTGTTGCATTTGTATCATCTGCGGGAAACGTTTGGTGCACATTGTGGATTTATCTTGATTTGAGCTTAATTTTGAGATTTGAGAGTACTTCTGGACGTTTTCGTTCCTCTTACTGAAAGTCATTAAGCTGGATACCTCTTATTCATCAGGTGCTGTACTATGAGCTGCTGGCCATCAGGGAGGCCTGCATCAGCCTGGAGAAGGAGTACCAGCCAGGCATCACCTACATTGTTGTGCAAAAACGCCACCATACTCGCCTCTTCTGTGCCGACCGCAACGAGAGAGTAAGTCCCAATCTAAAACTCTTATCATATTAAGTTATTTTATTTACTTGCTCTCACAGCAGCAATGATGAGAAACAAGCATTGTGTTTACCAGGTTATTCTTTTTCAATGTTTAGTCTAGGAAGTGCAATTTCGGCAAGATAGAGAAAGAAGAGTATCTATGTAGTTTAACAGGGAAACAAACCTCAACCTCACTGGTTCTTGAAGCGTTTTAACTATTAGGAGGTAATTCTGGTTTACTCTGTTAATTAGGATGGTAAGGGTAAGTAGTGAAAACATGCTTCTTTATTTGTCTCTTTTTTTAAATGACTAGATTATTAACCCTCCTGACCTGAGTAATTGTGTTCGATTAAAGCATTACAACCATCACCAATCACTCTGGAGTGGTACTCAAGGTCTCCTGGCTGAGCTGAAGCTATAATAACCTTTTTTTCTCCATAGACTCTCAGACAGAGCATTAGGCTCTCAAGGGCACTGGGATTTTAATTGGTTGTTTTTGTTGTCTGCCTTTGATGCTCCTGGAACTGTCTCTGTTTTTAACTTTTACTATTTGAAATATGTCAGCGTATTGAGTGCCTCCTAGATGTGCTGTTGATTTTTGTTTAGTTTTTCTCCTAATAGTTAAATTCTGAGGATAGAATAACTGAGAGTGACTAAATCCTTTGCTAGGTTGGACGCAGTGGAAACATTCCTGCTGGTACTACTGTGGATACAGACATCACTCATCCCTACGAGTTTGATTTTTACCTCTGCAGTCACGCTGGAATACAGGTTAGTACAGTTTTGCACTAATTTATTATCATGTGAATCAATTCAAAGGCTGTGATTAAAAATCACATTGCTTTTATTTTTTGATTTGATGACGTAGATAAAATGACTCCTGTATCATGTTTTGGACAATTTGAAGTTTAAGTTGTGGTTGACATTTACTTTATGAAGTTAAAAAATGTATGCTTTCAGTTTTCAATATACAATGTGGGTCTGGAACTTATTTTATTACCGATTAATCTGTCAATTATTCTGACAATTGATTAGTTGGATAAAAAAATTGCACATTCTGCATATTTTTCATGTAAGTTTTTTATACAGCATTAGAAATGCATAAAAATGCAAAATGGCAAAGGATTCAGTTAATTTTAAAAAAATAATAAAATAAATGTTTTCTTGGATAAAATGCAATAACATGTTATTCCTTTAGCTTATACTTAATCATTTGTAGCAAAAGCTATATCTTCAACTAACAAAAATACGTCTTACATGTAAGTTCAGCCCTTTCTGCTCAAATTAACATAACTACAGTGTAGGGCTGATTTGTTGACCATTTTTTGAGTAACTCATTAACAATTGAACAGCCAAAAAATAGCTTAATATAAAGGGTTTTTGTTTTGTAGAACTTGAATCATGTGAAACTAAAACTTTGCTACTTGTTGAGTTCCAGGTAGAACATATTTACAGACAAATGCCAAATATGAATATTTTTTTGTACAGTTTCAACTTAATTGTTTTTCTGAGTGTGTTGTTTTTTCAGAAAATTGCCTTTTTTGAGTCTGTGTACTCCAATTAACGATTAATCAATATTCAGTATCAATCAATAATATTAATCCAATACTGCTTTTAAAATCATATCTAAACCTTGGTTGTCCTCATAATGCAAATGTTTGACGTTCTGTCTTTGTAATCTACTAAAATCAAATCTCAAGAGTAGTTATCTAACCAATATTGGACTGAAAATATTTCTAGTTCCTTTGTGGGAGTGTTTATTAACTTTTTTTGCGGTTAAAAGCTAGTAATTACATATCTCTACCATTTAATTGTCCCTTCTCAGGGCACCAGCCGACCCTCCCACTACCATGTATTGTGGGATGACAATTGTTTTACTGCTGACGAGTTCCAGCTGCTCACCTACCAGTTGTGCCACACCTACGTGCGCTGTACCCGTTCTGTCTCCATCCCTGCACCCGCCTATTATGCCCACCTGGTGGCCTTCCGTGCCCGCTACCATTTGGTGGACAAAGAGCATGACAGGTAAGACAAGTAACCTCTAAAAAAACAGTTTTTTTGAGCCATATTCAGACATACGTTTGTAGACAAACACATTTGGTTTGTTCTTCTCTCCTCAGTGCCGAAGGCAGCCATGTATCGGGTCAGAGTAACGGTCGCGACCCCCAGGCACTGGCCAAAGCTGTTCAGATTCATCACGACACCCTGAGGACCATGTACTTCGCCTGAGCAAACATCCCTCCCCAATCCATGATCACCTTTAACACACAAAAACAAAAACAACCATGCACGCCTGGTTTGCCAGTTGAGGAGTCCTCATAGGTGCATGCCCAGCCCCCCCGCCCCCAATATGCCGAGTCAATGCGGACCTGACACTGTGCAGAAGAGAGAGCAGGGAGGAGGGAGGGGAAGAGGCAGCCCTACACTGGACTGAGGATTCAAACGCTGCTTTAAAGACAGACAAGACAGACACTCAGCACTATTATGCAATATTAAACCAGCCAACTAGTTTATTCCCACCATTTCCAGGCCCCTCCTATCTTTTCTTCCCTTGTTCGTGACCTTGTGGGTGTTTTTGTTTCTTTTCTTCTCCCCTCCTTCGGCACAGACCTTCCTAATGGTCTCATCCTGCACCATCTCTAGTACCTCAAGTCAGTTTGAGCAGCAGCACTTTTACATTCTTTCAGTTTTACTGTAGTTTGTCGATACTCCCCGAGGTTTGAAACAAGAGAGATGATTATTCGGAGTGTACTTTAATGGACCACAGGTCCGTCACATTGCCACTTTTCTCCCCTTTTCTGTCACTTCTCCCCAGTGTATCACTTTAATGAAGACAAATGTTTTTTGAGCACACTGCCATCTGTTGGCGACGAGGTATAAATACCCTCTAAAAGTCACAATGAGAAGTCGTCTTGCAACGTTTTAGATGATTTATGATTTCTTGTAACAGTCAGTTGTCAGGTTTGAACTGGGGCAGTTTTTATTGGCTGATCTAAAGGAAAAAAATGCTGAATTGCAGCCATGTATCTTTAAGTATAACACTGTTTTTTAATCCAGTCATTTCATCTGCATGCAGCGGAAAACTATTGTTTTGTCCTTTTTAATGAATTATGTAAGTGTTGTTCGCATTCTTAGCAATCATCGTGCATTCGTTTTCCTCAGTGCTTTATCTTGCATTTTCCCTGTTCAAGATGGATAATTTGATTGTGACAATGGTTTCCTTTAGTGCAATAATCAGCTGAACGAAGGGAAGAGGATTTTAGGGGATTTGAATGTCTCAAGAATTTAATATTTCAATGAAAAGTTTGCCCACTTCTAAGGCACTTATTTTGTTGCTCCTCTGAATTAAAGAGGCAGTAATTATTATTTTTATTTGTCACCCGTTGCTGTTGTGTGAAAATGGTGCATCCGCAGTTATGGTGATTATTATGTTTCAACTTGAACTGAAGAAATTTATGCACCACTATAGCTTCAGAGTATAATTGATTTTAAAGCTCCCAAACATAATTGTGTTTGAGATTATTTTTTTTCAAAGATTCTCAACAGATGGCAGCAAAGTGGAGTGTAAAGGCCATATAAAATAAGTATTCAAGTGCCTGGCAGAAATGTTTAATTAAATAAAAACTGTAAGAATCTCATTTCAATCAGTTAAAGAAGTCACAAACGGAAACTTTCACCTGATGCCTGTTATTTTTGTCCACAGCCATCTGACTTGTCTATACATCTCATTTAAAATGACTATAGATCAAAATATTTATTCCCTTTTTTCTCTTTCGTTAGCTATTAGCTTTCCTTTAGAGCTGACTTTTAGTGTCTAATTAGTATTCGCAAGACATGAATCCAGCTGCTACAGTGGGCTTTTAAAATAATGGACTGGATTTATGGGTATGGAGTTAAACTTGTCATGAAACAAGAGACTTTCAGGAAACTTTTTGTTGAAGACGTCAGCCAGGTGTAATTCCTGCCCATCTAACTGGCCCTGAATAGGAAATGGCCTCAAAACAGAGCAGAGGAGTTAATGTGGGGGATTTGTGGCTATTTGGTCACCGAAGACTTTTTAACACATCAGATGTGCCTTATTGGTGCAAACAACGTCTCCAATATGGCAGCATTAGCGCTGCCATCTAATTTTAAATGTGTAGTCTGTGGCTCCCTCTGTTGCTGTCGCAGAGGCATTTCAGCAATGTAAAAACTGTGATCCCACCATACACCTCTGGGCTTGGGTTGATGATTGTGATTTTCAGTGCGGTCCCCACATTACTCCTCCTCTCCGTTGAAGGCCTGAAGCTTGTTCAGGAACATGTTTTTAAAAAGTTATCTGCACTAAAAGAAGCATGTGTTTCTAAACGTAACACAAGCACGGTGCTACTCTAAGAGTTTGAATCTGAGCCTCTGTGCATGAGACTCTAAATAAGCAGGTTAGGGTGAGGGAAAAAGAAAAAACCTCAGAATGGAAGGACAGGATAAGGTGCTTTTGCTATGGTTGATGCAAAGAGTAGATTTACAAATAATTTAAGGTTAGATTTTTTGGGGGTTTGAGATCTTGTGAACGGTACAATGGCAGACGTTCCTTTGAACACTGAGGTATAATGTAGAGTTCTGCCTCCACTGTCGCAGCCTTGCAGTCTGGAGGCCAGTGTGTTTTGAGCCTTCATTATTTCACTAGTACCTTTTTAAAAAGCCAGATTATGAAATATATTTGTACATTTTAAGTTCTGTAATGCACACCACTTATTTTTGCTAACAGAAAAGATGTAGTCTAATTATTAATCTTAGTAATTAATGTATCATAAGTAAAGGTTAAAAAGATATAACAAAGTTGAATTATTGCAGCTGACTGTTGACTTGTTCCTGTGTTGGTGTGTAGATGTGTAGTACCTTTATGAAAAGCAGTGGGGTTGTTGGACCTAGTGATGTGTTTGGACTATTATCGGTAGGGATGTGGTCTTCAGCCATCGCTTTCTTTGATGTTTGGCTAAAAGAAAAAAAAAAAGCTTGCAAGATGCTTGATGCTCTTCTAATTTTTTTTCTCACAGCTGGAAAAGTAAATGAAATGATGTTGGCATGCTCTGAGCAGATTTTATTTCAGGACAGAAGAGTCAGTAGTCAATAGTTTGCTGTTGATACCTTTGAATGTGTTGACTGCTCCTTGTAAAGACGGAGTAGAGCAATTTTTGTGATCCATTTCAAATCCACATGATCAAGGAAATAAATTAACAATTGAGCCATAGTTTTCAGTTCCTTTGAGTTAAATCCTCTAAGGATTTGCGTCGCACTGCAACCCCTGTTCCAGAAACTGGCCTCAAGCCCCTTCCATGACCAGAGCGTCGGCCTACCGGCAAATCAGTGTGACAAAGCCTGTAATCTCATTTTTTACACCTAAATAAAGGTTCTCCTTTATGCTGAAGGACTACATTCAGTGGCCGTACAATCCCCCCACTCGGGAAATGAAAGGTTGAAACCGAAGGACAATTTAGTGGGCTTTCCGGAGATTTCAAGTGTGCATGTTTTTGGAAAGACTTTTAAATGATCAGTGAGAGCTTTATGCGGTAGGTTATGTTGGAAGTTGAACAAATGAGTGCATGGCAGAAGAAAGAGAAGGATTGTATTTCTTTAGGCTGAAAAGCATGTTGAGGGCAATTGAACACATGTTTACATAGCGGATGTGTTTGCCTGTCTTATGTTTTAATGCTGTCAGCTGGTCCTTGCAAATACAACCAGAACATTTCAGGCCTGCTGATGTAAATGCTCAGTTGTATTTTTTTTTCTCTGAAACCAACATTTCCTTTTTACTCTTTTTAAAAATGTTATTTGATTTGAAATAGTTTGGTGCACAAAATAAAGAATGAAACACCTAATTATCTTAGATTTCTCTGTAGAAGATAAGGTTTTCCATTTTTTGTGTTGTAGAAGTAGCTACATTTAACCTTTTTGTAGTAATTGTGATAGGTTCACCTGGCTTTGGTTGCTATGCTTGTTTCAGGGAGGTAGCAAAGAAGTGAGAAGGAGCCCACTGAAAGTGCCTTTCCTCTCGATGGTGCTGTTATGTGAAAATGTAAAGCTGAACTTATAAAATCTCTGCGGTGGCCACTTTACTACTCTCCAAGTGTTTGTTGGCAATCCAAACAGGAAGTCAATGTACCGAGACAGTGAGTCTGTAGAATAGGAGGATATAATGCCAAGTAGATCTTTGTAGGACGTTCGGTGTCTTGGACCAGAAGTTCATTGGGACAGTGGGATGTGGTTCAGGGTCGGTTCGCGTGGATCGAGCATGGGTGGTGACAGGGATCGTTTCTTTGACGCTTTTACGGCCCCCTGGTCGCGAGCGATGAACTTAGCACAGCACTTTAGAGACTGCCACTCTCACTCAGACATATAGCCAAGAGGTTTCAGTCCCTGTTTCTCCATTTTTCCTTCCGGCTTGGAGAAAATCCAACCCGTCGCTCGGTTATTTAAGATGTGCCTCATTTGGCTTCGTTTGGCTCGGTTGAGTCTGTCTTCTCTCTTGTGTCTGTTTCCTCTCAGAAACTGCCACTCAGTACATCGCTATAGCCACAGCTGGGCATCAATTAACAGTTTGTTGGGCCTGAAATGTAGAAGGAAATTTTGCACTGACAAACATCATGTTCTCAAATGGTTTCTCTCCGACTGAAGAAAGCAAGACGAATAAGATCTCAATATGCTTGAATAAGCTGGGAAAAAATAGTCAAGTGTCCTTTTAGCTAACCGTGAGAAAACCAGGTTCTGTGTCAGTATTGAGATTTTATACTTGATGCCCACCTGATGTAGCAGTAGACAACAACCTGTGGCATTTTTTTCATCGCAATGCAACACCCTGCCTGTGTATGTCGTCTCTGATGGAGGGAACGAGTGCCCAACACAGTCCTCCTCGTCTCAAGCCGCTTTGGCAACAACTAAAAACCGAGGGACATCTCTTTCCGAGGGGGTAGGAGGGGACAAGAGGAGGAGGAGGAGGGCCGAATCTTTTTATTACAAAAAAAAAATCTCAAAACACTGCACCTCATTTACCTTGGTATGCTGCATATGTTGTACTACATGAAAGAAAACTGCAAATGGCTTTTATTATGACATATAATGCTTGAGTAATGCCTGATTGCGATATTCTTATACGGTAACTGTTTTAGAGTCAGAATAGTTATAACTGTAAAAAAAATATTAAAAGAAAATCAAAATATTCTGTTTTGTCTTAACACTTATTTGATTTAAAAAAAGATTGTTCTTGAGCCGACTTTTGTTGTCCTATTTAAATGTGTTCTTTCAATATATATATAAATATATACATATATGAAATATATATGCGGAATATTTTATAGTGTATTTATTGAAAGCGCTTTGAAGCGGCTGGAGTCTCCGCATCGTTTTCGCAGTGTGGTGGGGGGGTGGAGCTAAGAGGAAGATGCCCTTTTTCTTTTCCTTAAGCCGCTCCCCTTAAATGTTGATGCCTTATTCTCTTTAACAAGCAAGCACAACAATACGTCAGGGGGTATGAGGTTAAGGAAAGATTTGCCTTGTAACAGCCGTGCAACGGGCTCACTCTTCTAGTTTTTCATTATCTTCTGCTTTGACGTTTTTTGTTTTTTTTACCACCCAAGGGGGCGATTTTCCCCTCCCCCACATATAGCTGATCTCTGACGAAGGGAACCATTTCTCAACCACACTGACCAGAGTGTCAAAAGCTGACTTTTATTTTCATCCCAAGCTGCTAATTGGTACGTTAGCTATGTAAGGGACAAGTGGTGTGGGGGGTAGGAAGGAAAGTTATCTGAAAGGCAATATTTTTGGGGTCATGTTGAATTATTATATATTTTTTTTTATTATTTTAAGTTGGCTTAGCTTCTATTCTCTTAAAATTGTCTCCTTTCTGGTGCCAGAATATTTTACAGCAGGAACAGGTCTCATTCCACAAGAGAAGACATGCCTGAGCCTTAAATGCATTCTTACAGAGTTGACCTTGCAAAGCCTTTTCCTGGGCGGCCTACCAAGTAACCTAGCCTGCGTACTTGATCTGTCATGACTTCAGAACTGGTGTCCTCATCTCTGCTCACTTCACACAGAAACCACTAACATGGATTGATTGTTTTTTTTTTCTTTGGAGAACTCTGAAGTGTAAGCTTTTTACATAATGCTTTTGGCAGAATAGAAACCAAGTCTGGGTCAAACGGCATTTGGAAACCCTTCTTAGCATTTGTTTCCACCTGATGAGCAGCACTCTCTGCTTCAGGATAATGATATAATCATTTAATTTGATTTTTTTTTCTTTTTTACAACCAATTATTGTCTCATCACTGATGACAAATCCAAAGAACAGTATTTTCAGATACAGTTTGACCTTGGCCTTAGAGAACCATGAGGTTCCCCTCGCCTACTGGATAACAGAGACCTGTGCCTGTACAATAAACCAAGGATGAATTGTGTTGTAATGACTGATTTTTTTTGTTTTTTCTCTTTATTTTTTATTGCTTACTCCTGAGTCTGCAGGAGGATCAGAGACATGGACCTTTTCAAGTTTTGTCTAACATATTCCAAAGCAAATAGGCCCTTTTGTCCTTTAAACCAAATTATCTTTGGTATAATAAATGTTTACCAGAATGTTTACTCCCTCAGCCCACATTTCACCTTTTTCTTTTTTTTTTTTTTTTTTTTTGCATTTTGCATTCCAGCAGATTTCAAACCAAATATTGCAGATGAGATTAGGCTCCTGATGCCGTTTACCTTGTACACACTTGATGGTTTGACGACAGATGAATAACAGTGGCCAAGGATTTGAAAAACATTGTATACTCTGATTGCTTGAATATTCTTATTTTTGTCTTCACTGTAGCAAATTAGAGATCCTGGGCTCTGATACTTCTGAGTGAGGCACCAGCAAAGAGACACACGTTGAGCAGTCACAAAAAAACGGACGATCCATGTCTCAGTATTTTGCAAAGGCTCTGTTGTACCAACAGCTCTATTCCTTTGAGTTTTAAATGTCTTTCTTTTGTAACCCTCATATAGTTTGTTGCCCTTTTTAGTGTTGCTTTGCTTCAGTTTGAAGTGTATCTTTGACTAATACTTGCAATAAAATGCTTTGCTTAACTTCAGTTGTCATTGTTGGATGTGTTTTAGACTAAGGCTAGAATTTTTATTTTTTTTATATAATTAAGAATTAAAGTACTAATTATGGTAATTAAACAATAAGAATTTAGGTCACTGTTTTGATAAAGTAACTCCAAGACACACAAATGTGTTAAATAAAAACACTAAATCAAATACATTAAATGGATGGAATATAAATAGAGGATAACCCAAGTTTAAACTCTGGCAGACCAACTACCTGACATAAATGGAAAGAACATTTCCATTGTGCAGACTTGCTGTATTTTGCATGTATAGGATGAGGAAGGTAATGGTTGGGTCACTTTTTTTCACAAGACAAGAAATGTAATGTTAGTGGTCTAATGGGCCAAAAAATCTTATTAAATCTTTTATATCTGACTGAGGAAAAACTGATAATCACCTGATAAACATTGTTCGTTTTGGGGTTTTAAATAGTGCTTTTGACTTCTGATTCATAGCACGCAAAAGCTGACAACTAGATCCTTTCAGGAAACGTCCATTCAAGAATAATAAAGAACAAACATGATTTTCTTGGAATAACATTGCTGAAATGGAGCTAAACACAATCTGATTATGGTTAGAAAAGTTGGATTTCTAACGACTTCCATTCACTGTCGCTATAAACAGCTGCTGCACAACTCACTAAAGTGCACAGTTGAAATTATGTATGTGTTTCTTTGATATAATTTTTTTTGTCACAAATGGGGTCTTTCTGCACAGAGTTTGCATGTTCTCCCTGTGCATGCTTGGGTTCTCTCCGGGTACTCGAGCTTCCTCCCACAGTCCAAAAACATGGCTATTAGGTTAATTGGTTTTTCCAAATTCTCCCTAGGAGTGAGTGTGTGTGTGCATGGCTGTTCGTCTCATTTGTTTCTGTGTTGCCTTGCGACAGACTGTCGACCTGTTCAGGGCGTACCTCGCCTCTCGCCCGGAACGCAGCTGGAGATAGGCACCAGCAACTCTGGACCCCACTTGGGATAAAGGTGAACAGACAATGGATGGATGGATGGAGGTTATAAATTACCTTTTTGTGTATCTCTTGTAGTTGAAACCCCTGGACTTCTTGAGTAATTCTTTTTGGACTAGTGGGTGTAAATTTGAAATATTTGAACACTAACATAAGACATGTTAAATTTGAAGCACAACTTGATCCTGAAACATAACTTAATCTCAGAAAATATAATTAAATCTTCCAGTGATTGGCTTAGAATTAAGAAATGGAAACTTCTGGGTGCAAACAAATAACAGACTTTGATCTGAGATAATGTGGGGTGAATTTAAACAAGTTGAACATTCAAAACCCCCCTGCAAACATCTCATAGATGCAAAGTGATGGGTGGAACCTCAAGCAGATGTCAGAGACTGGTAGAAAACTACAAGAAGTACCTCACTGAATTCATTTCAACTAACAAGCCGACACCAGCTGTTAAGTATACAGTTTTACTATCTAAATTTTATGTTGTGAGGCACACAGAATCAAGATTTTATTTTATTTCCCCTTTCCTCATGGATCAGTATAATGTTCGCTCATTTGAAACTAAATAAAACTGTTTCCACAGATTTATTTTAGAAAACCCAGAAATCTGGGGAGCCATTTGGCTTCCAGCAGCATGATGAGAGCACAATAAACAACTGACAAGACAGCAGTGCTGAGCGTCATTAAAAATGTGGCAAAGGAGGTTTTCTAATACCAGATGCTCCAAAGGGTGAGACTGAACAGTGATTATGTTCTCACCCTGGCTGTCAGTCCCTGCATGCCAAGACGTTACATCCATTTGACAAAAATGATGGTGTTTGCTTCTTTGCTTTATTTAAATAAGATAGAAACACGAGTAACCAAATGTCCCACTATAAGCCTAAATACTCTTGTCACAGCTTCATCCACAGAAAAACAAAAATAAATATTCAACTAATCTGTGAGTTTGTTCATTTAATGAATCCTTATTTTTCACGATTATCCTCTTATCAGTGATAGGGTCATGGTTAGTGAAATAACAACCTGACATGGACTTTTTGTTAGGTGAACACACATAAATGTCTAATGTATGCAGAGCTTGGTGTGTTATTGTTATTATCATTATTAAAAAGCCCACCATGCCTTCACTGACTAAGTCATTTTTGCAAACAGTGGTAGTTCTTGCATGAACAGTGCCGCAGGCAAGTCCCTCATTCTGCTTGGAAATAAAAAAAGAAAAAAGAAAAAAAAAACCTCCATGACTTTTATGATTTCATAATAACTATTACAGGATAAAAAAATATTTTTGAAGAAACAGTCTCTCCAATCTTTCAAATGAGAATCTAAATCACATCTACTGGCAAAAAATGAAACAAGCTCCAAATGCGTTTTCATTTAGTTTTTCAGAAACAACAAAACATTTGAAACTCAAACTGTGTTTTGAAGAATTAAAAAGACATAGTCTTTTGAAGGAGGGTTCATTGTTCTAATTTGTTCCTAAATATTTTTTCCCCCTTTAAATATATTGTCAAATTCAGTGTCATGACCTTTCAGTGCCAAGAAATAATGTGTAATTCTAAATCCGTGGTCCTCAAAGTGTAGTTCAAGTGTAGTTCAAGTGCGACCTGGCAAACCTTGAGACTGACAACTCATTCCACCGCCTTCTCGTTACAATCCTGCAGTACCACTTTTCACCAGAAGAGGGAACAGTTCGCCCAGAGAACTGGGTGAGAAGCTCAATCAGCTGGAGACTTGGGGGAGACCTGAGGTGCTTGTGACTTACCTCATGTGAACTAATGCACAGCAGGAGTGCTACCTGAAATTACACACTTACATTGAGGTTTCAGCTGAGATACTTAACAAACCTAAATCTGGTTAGGTATTAGGAATGATTAACCATATGTGTAATTGTTGGGTATTCTTCTGGTGGTTTAAAGATTTAGACTTAGACTCGTACTTTATTGATCTCTTGGGAAGACTCCCTCAGGAAATTGAAGTTACCAGTAGCTTACAGGCAGAAAAGTGGCACACAGTGCGCAAAATACAAATATAAATGAACAATCTGAAAAATTCCTTTGACTTTGGAGCCTCTTCACAGCTTCTGTCAGGACTTTGGATGATATAGAGAGGACATTACTTAAATCTCCTGCTGCACACCTCCTGTCTCCTGTCCTGTAAAATGACAAATCATCTTGTTGCAGATGTAATTATCAGATGTCAGGCTGTGGTGGAAAGTCTTCCAGCTGCATAAGGAATACTCAGATTCAACTTGGCACCTGCTGGCTGCTGTCAGACAGAAACATTGACTTAATGTTACTTTATCAATTTTGTTGGCATGGCTTGGGATTCACACTGTCTAAGTCATTTTTTGCTTTCAAGAGCTCTGACTGCCTCAAAATCTACCGTACACGACCTTTACAAAAATTCTTTTGTTTTCTCTGTAAATATTTGTTAGTGTAAGTGAGTCCAGTTCTCGTGCCTAGCCATTTCTTCAGTGAAAATAAATGAGGAAAGCAGATCAGTGTCTGAAACAAAAAGAATCCTTAAAGGAACAGTACAACTGGATGTCACCTGCATAAATGTGATCAAAAGTATTAAATGTAAATTTACAATCTGGCAAAGCTTTACTGAGTTGTCCAGTAATCAAAAAGTCATTTGAAATTAAACACAAGTCAACTTTTGAAGATGCAGAAAAGAAATATAAATTCAAGCAGTTATTTGTTCCAATTCTATCATTTTTATATACAATGTTGTTTAGATGAAGGACTATTCCCTGTTGGTTGTGATGGTTGTAAGCTGGGTGTCTTTTGTATGGATTCAATGAGAAAAAGAGAGACTACAAATATCGACAATGTGAGTATTTAAATATAAATTACACATATGGTTAATTTAAATAAGTCTTATTATTGCTCTGTATTTATTTATAGTTTTTACTCTAACTGTGTTATCTTTTTTTGCAATTAAACTCAAAGATAAATGGTCGGTTTTTAAAGTAGTCTATTGTCTGTTGACATAATGGTTCATTTCTTGAGTTCAAGTTTTTTTTATTTTTATGTTTGAATGTTTTACAGAGTTATTTTTAACTAAGTTGTTTTCTCTGTAAATATTTGTTAGTGTAAGTGAGTCCAGTTCTCATGCCTAACCATTTCTTCAGTGAAAATAAATGAGGAAAGCAGATCAGTGTCTGAAACAAAAAGAAGGGCCAAATATTATTTTTGCCACACCAAATCCTTAAAGGAACAGTACAACTGGATGTCACCTGCATAAATGTGATCAAAAGTATTAATGTAAATTTACAATCTGGCAAAGCTTTACTGAGTTGTCCAGTAATCAAAAAGTCATTTGACATTAAACACAAGTCAACTTTTGAAGATGCAGAAAAGAAATATAAATTCAAGCAGTTATTTGTTCCAATTCTATCATTTTTATATACAATGTTGTTTAGATGAAGGACTATTCCCTGTTGGTTGTGATGGTTGTAAGCTGGGTGTCTTTTGTATGGATTCAATGAGAAAAAGAGAGACTACAAATATCGACAATGTGAGTATTTAAATATAAATTACACATATGGTTAATTTAAATAAGTCTTATTATTGCTCTGTATTTATTTATAGTTTTTACTCTAACTGTGTTATCTTTTTTTGCAATTAAACTCAAAGATAAATGGTCGGTTTTTAAAGTAGTCTATTGTCTGTTGACATAATGGTTCATTTCTTGAGTTCAAGTTTTTTTTATTTTTATGTTTGAATGTTTTACAGAGTTATTTTTAACTAAGTTGTTTAAGAAACTGAGTTTAAAAAAATGTTTCTTCAACTAACCGGACTGAATAAGTGGTTTCAGGGGAAAGCATCCAAAGCAGAAAGAAAACCTTGGAAACCCTTAAAAAACCTGAAGAAATGTCACAACAGACCACTTAAAAAAAAAGACTTCACAAGGTCCTGTTTATATTACATTATTGTATGCTAAGTTAGTAGCTCATTGAAGAATTTTGCTGCATGACATTTAAATTACTAAAATACAGTCTTAGCAGAACTAGTAAAGACGTATAAAAAGCCTTTAAGTAAATTTATCCTTCATTGCAGAAGCATAGCAGCGCACTAGAAACACAACAACAACAATAATAATAATAATAATAAATCATTATCTTAAAAATGAAAGGTTTTCAGCCATAATGACCTGTTTTATTACATGAAATACAATATTTTCCAAACATTCAGTAAAACCAAGGATATTATCTAACAAACATGAGTGATCTGTAGCCTTTTTGTGTTTTTGTTTTTTTAATGTGTATAGTACTTTCTTATTTACTATGAACATACATTTCTCTTTGCTCATTAATGTTTGAAAGTTGCTAGCATGCTATTTTTAGTTCAATTTCTATTTTTTGTGTGTGTCCAGTTCTTAGTGCATTTATATTTATTTCTCTTTGTTTGGTGTTAATCTTTCCCCCCTTGTAGTTTATTTGTGTCCAGTTAAGCTTCCTTTGTGTTAATTATTAATGTTCCCTCTGTGTTGCTCTCCTCACCTGCATTCAGTGTCATTCTTCTTTCTTCCCTCTGTATATAAGTCACTGGTTGTAACAGTTATTTTTCTGTTATTTCTCCCCATAGCCCATTTCATGACACCAGGTGCCCTCAAAGCAACATAGACTAAGTGAGAATGAAAAAAGGTGTCAAGGATCAACGAAAGGCCCAAAAGAGGTGATGGCAACTCTGTAAACGGCACATATGAAGGTGGAAGACTAAATCAAGTCTGGAAATAATTGTTTGAGTTTCTCGGAGGAGCTTAGAAGTCAAATATCCTGCAGCTTCAAAGATATATTATCCTCACACTTCAATGATGTGTCAAAATGATGCCGGCAGAGAATATTCACTGGAACTGCACATATATGTGTACAGATTACATACAGGTTATAGACTACACACACACACACAGAGTCAACGATCTGACACATGTCCAAAAATTTAGTTATTATGCTCTTTGATTTTTAATTCTCACATTTTCATATTGATGGAGTTTTATATGAGTCAGAAGTTCTAGCTTTTATTTTGCATTAAAAAAGACCAGTATGTTTTAACGAGACCTGATGTTTACATTTTGAGATAAATTAAAGCTTTGGATTTGAATTAACTGAGCAGACATGAATCCTTTCCATGAAACACTTAGCAGTCCATCAATGAACCTCCAAGATATTTCAGAGTCTACAAAGTTTAAGACATTCTTAACACACATTAGAAAATGAGTGTCTTTGAGCCTGTGATTATAAATATTCAGTCACATTTCTCTCTAATCACACCAAACCAGTCATTCACCTTTTGTCAGACCTTTACCATCACCTTTGTATGGACACGGTTCTGGGGAACAAATCCAGCAGCAAATAACTGGAGTCACAGTTTAAGATATTTAAAAATCAGTGAGCCAGTCCTCATGATATAAACAGAAATCTGAATGTCTGAGTCCATGTGTATCTGTGAGATAAGAGAAAGCTGTCAGCATGCAGTCCTGTTTTATTTATGCATTAATGCATCTGATCCTCGTTACTATTCAGAAATTCCTCACATCCCAGTCAGAGCCCCGCGCCTGGAAATGCCTCTCTGATTAATCTGATTACTGACAAAATGATTTGATTAAAACTCTATTGATTAGGATCATAACAGGGAGAGAGTTTGATTGTTTCTTCTGTATTTAGACCTGAGCAGCAAAAGTGCGACAAAGCCCTATTGTAATTTCTGGATTTGTTATTATTCTGTCTCTAAAAACAGATATTTGGGACCTAAACATATGTGAAAACTGAACAAACTTTGCCCAAAATTGTGAAATGAAATGTTTTTAATGAAATCTAAAAGGGGGACGGCAAAACGGCTCTACAGCGCCCCGTAAGCTGAGATAGGCTATAGACATCTAGTACATTCCTATCAAGCCAAGAAAGTACAGGCTTTCTTGACCTGTATAGTCTTGGGTTAAAGGTCACTTTTGATGTTTACCTACTTTGAACTTTGACAAACTCTTCATAGGGTTTTTGAGATATTGGCTTCAAATTTGGCCATTAAGCAGTTGGTATTGTTTTTAATGTCGTCAAAAATAGTTTCAAAATGTTAAATGTTTCTATTTCCAGTTTTAATTCAGATGCACAATATCTTTTTCTATTTCACTGTAATTGTTTGATTTTTTTAATATAATTATTTTTATTTAAAATATCTAGAATTGTAATTGTTTTATGTTCAATGCAAAACACTTTATTCTCTCTTCTGTATGATTCAGGCTCTCCAAATAAAGATTAGGTGATTTTCAGCGGGAATAATTTTTCATGCGTCTTTAGAGAGAAATAAATTAATTTCACAAAGAGAATGAATCCAAACCGTTATTCCCTTCACAGTGACAGCTTTATGACTAAAAACTTGCAAACATAATTACTTTCCTGTCAGCTGAAGTGCTGATTAGACACTGTTATCCTTCTTCACAAGTAGCGATGATTAACAGTTTATATATCCTACAAAACTCAGCATGTTAGCATCATTAAGTTCATGTAAGCATGACGTTATTGTCTGTGGCTCATGGTTTTTCTTCTGTTGAAGATTTCATGGGAAACTGCTAAAAATACAAATGTTTCATTGCCAATAAAAAAAAAAAAAAAACTGAAACAGTTTACTCTTCAAAATGATTTGCATTGTCCCAATATAATTTCTTTTTTTCCTTCAAAACTTTTCAATTCATCTTCAGGAAAATGAGACAAACAAATCTGAATACATATTAATCACATTTCCATTTTCAGTGTGCTGGCAGAAAGTTTGGGCGTGAACAGGAGCACAATATAGCAATTTGTCATCTTCAAAACTAGCTCTATGGTATAACATATTGTGGCTCTGTGGTATGACTGTTAACTCAATGTCTGCAGAATGGCTGAAAATATTTTGTTAGGCTCTTAAAGCATGAGAAAACAGAGGTCCACTATGTAGGAAATTTGATATCGCCCTTAACTGTCCAATCTGTTAATATAGGAGAAGATGCATTTTAATGTCTGAGCCTCTTCCCTTTCATGCTGTGTATCAGGAAGACAATCTGTTTAAAGCCAGAGATATTACAACATTCCATATAAATTTCTCTAGGTATAGTATACACTATATATTATTCTTGGTTATTCTAACACTTATTATTTTTCATACTTAATTGTATTCTTCTTAAAACTCATAGCGGTGAGAAGGAGTTTACCAAAACTCCCCCTCTGCCGCCGGTGGCCCCCAAGGCTCCTTTTTCATTTTAAACTGGTAGGATATTCTGATGAAGAAAGTGATATTTTTGTGTTTTTGTCATGTAAATTGTTCCAATGCTATGCTGAGCATAACTTCTAAATGTGATATCAGAAATGATAATATTTAACATTAACACAGCCTGCTACAGTTTTCGGTTTAAAACATCACAATGTAAGTTTTAGACACGAAGCACCGACAGATAATGACTTACACTGACGTAGCTATTTATTATCCGTGCTATGGTAGGAAAAACTGACGAGGTAGCACAGATGGTCAGAACAACGGCTCATGTTAAATCTCCAGGGGAAACATGTCTGGTCTTTAAGGCTGCCAAATATGGTTCCTATCTCTGAGATAGACAGAGATAGGAATCTATTTCTGTCTGGTTCCAATCTCTATCTATCTCAGAAATAGGAACCATAAAGTCAATAAAGTCTGACAATAAGACAGACTTTATTGTCATTCGTACATTTATAATTTACATATTGAGTGAAATTTTGTTGCAAGGCTCAATTAAAATAAATAAATTAATAAAAAATCTAATGATCTAGAAAGGAAGACAAAAAAAATAGATTTTTTTTGTATGAAACATCTTGGTACATCGCCTCCTCTACCTGATATGTGAGCTTCCTCTGCAGCTCCATCTGCAGTCTGCGAGGAAACAAAAGAAAGGCAAAGAAACAAACAAGAAATTTTTTATTTTTTTTTTTTAAATAACTCAACCAGAAATAGGGAACTAGATTTGTAGCAGAATGGGATTTAACAAAAAAGCTGAAGTCTGGATTAGAGAAACAATTTACTTCTTAAATGTTTCATTTGAGAACTTCGCTGATGTATGTCCCCTGGACATTATTGCAGATAGGAAGCAGACTCACATTCTGAAGCTAAGATTTGTATTAAACACATTTTCTTCTGATTTTCAGAATATTTCATCACTGTCTGCTCAGCACCAGGATGCGCCTTCAGGGACCTGAAGATCTTATCTATCACATCAGTTTAAAGTTTGGCAATATTAGAGAGTTAGAGAAAATGCAGCAACTTTTCTGTTAAATTATGAAACATTTTTTCATAAAACATCACTGAGCTTTGGAAAACTCCAAAGCTATTTTGGAACTTTAATGACAGTTGTTTTGTTCCACTTTTCTCTCACACCCAAGAAAGCGTGTCCCGCAGTTGACCTGTCTGGTTCCACTTCCTTCATGTAGCTTGGCGGAGCTTGTCAGAAACAATACTGGAGGTTAAAAGGTTTAAGTGCAATGAGAGCACTGTCAAAATACGGTAGAGCACGCTGATGTGTCCAGCCTTATTTTTGGACACAACTCTGCCATTTCTGGATCTACACCAAGAATGCTTTGTTCAGTTTGTGGAGCAAAAACAAAAACTGACAGAAAACAAAGTGGAAAACTGAATTCACAGTGCGATCACAAAATATTGAGCCGCATCCAATAGTGGGTTGGATGCAAAAAATAAACTCAGGATTGCTGCCATAAAGTTTGAAAATAAGTTTCACCACAAACTTTTTCAGCATGGAAGTTTGTCACAATCCGTATATGCACTTCTAATTTGTACATTCATTTGCAAAATACCCTACAAAATGGCCCTTCACCGCAAAAACATAATATCTTACCAGGTATTTTTGATCTAGTTTGACTTTATTATTATTATTTCACTTATAATAAAACATTATTCCCTTGATATTAATGTAATAATCTGACATTAGGACAAGTACTTTCTCCAATATCAAGGAACTTTTGAAACAACTCCTGAAAAGTTACTTGTGAGTTAGGTTTGTGTTATTTCAACTGTACTAAGATATGTAGACTAGAAACTAAACTAAAAGTACCTGGTAAGATTTGATGTTTTCTCAGTTTCAAACTTGTTCACATTTTATCTCTTTATTTTTTGCATATATTATGTATTCAATTTATATGTGCCATCACAGACATTTTTTAAAATTATTATTTAAATGTGCATTGTGTATCCTGTAGTTTGAACTTTGCTTACATATTCAGCTGATAAATCCTCATTTTTTCCAGAACAGATGACACCAGTTTGCCTTGTAGAGCTTTTGTGGCATTTCTTCATTTGAAGCTTCATGGCAGGAACAGCTGAGGTTTTGGCAAAGAGCCCCCTGGTTGCTTCAACAAGAAATGGTATCAAAAACTTATGTTAGCTCATGATTTAATTAAGTCTGAATAGAGATAATACTTTATATACTCAGCGTATGAACATATCAGAGATCCAGTTTGTTATGGTCGGTCATGAAAACACATCAAACCTGTGACCGGTGCATCTACCACTGCACTGGTCAGTGGTGCAGTGGTAGATGGTGGCCCCAAATTTGTTAACAAGATTTAAAAAAAATATATCAATTTTGACATTTTCACACTTTTCTAGACTCAGTAAAAAAAGTCAACACAATGTAAAAAAAAAGTAAAAAAAGCAACAAAAAAACATTTGAGAGACATTTGAGGACAAAACATTTACCTCAGATTCCAATAATCTTTAACACAACACATGTTGGAGTCCTAGTAAAGGGCTATTCCACAGCTTTGTTAGGCATCTAATCTTAACATTTTAAATCTGTAACACACACACAGTTTCTTTGAAGCACAATTTGTGATCCTTTTCTCTGATTCTTTGTGTTGATTTGCTTTGATTTTGAATCTCTTCCTACCCCTCTGCCCTGTATTTTGAGCATAAATTATTCTAAAAAGCACTTAATTTTACAAAATATATTTTCATCTCGTAGATAACGCAATAAGTGTTTAAATTTCACTACTTTTTCATAGTTATCTAGACTTTAAAAAAAGAACAAATCAATTTCCAGACCTCTCCAGGCTTTTCATAAATGTGTGGGAACCCAGCCTTGGGCTGGCTCTGCTTTTAATCAAGTCTTTTTCAATTGCTTTTGCTGCTTAGCTCTAAATGTGTGTGGATGTAAGCTGAAAAGTGAACCCTGGAAATGAAAGCAAATGAGACGAAATCTCACCTAAGCATAGATGAATATCCAAGCATCCTATTCTTTCAGACTTAATGTTTTTTTACATTCATGTAATACATTTTTATGCAATTTACTGACAGCAAAACATAAAGAAATAAAATTAAACATTGCTAAAAAAAAACCCCAAACATTTTCAGACAGAGCAGGAGGCACTGTGAGCTGAATATCCACTCGTACATATTTTCTATATTTGTCTGTAAGCAGTTCACTCTCCACATTGTTTCCGTGCAGTGTGAGGTCATACTGCTCACAGGACAGGAAGTTTCCACCCTCGTTGCGTGTTCTCCTCTGAGACTTTCTAGCAACAGCTCAGATCTTTTTTAGATTGTGTCGTCTGTGTGTTCATACAACCTCTCTCCCATGTTATTCTTCCTGCGCCTCCTGGAAAAAAAGTGTTCAATTTAGATCAAACAGCAGTGACAAACTGTGAACAGACTCAAGTAAAAAATGACAATTGTTTTGTCAGCAGATGCAACCTGGCCTGTCATGTTGCATAGCGTGTGGGAAGATGCCATGTCGTATTTTTCTGTTTCACTCTGCCCGTGCCATTATTGTTTTTTTTCTTTCTCTCTCTCTCTCTTTCTCTCTCTCTCTCTCGCAGCATTGGCTTTATCTTCAGAGCATAGCCTGAAATAAGATTTGTGTCTGACATAATGTTTGTGTTTGGTACTCTACCTCCACAAGAGAAATGCCAGCACTCCTCCACACACCAGCAGCAGGAGGACAAGACAAACCACAGCCGCCGTCATCCCTCTGCCCCCACTTTCACAAGGTGCTATGAGCCATAGGAAGAAAGAAGAAAACACAATGAAAAGGGAAAGCAAAACAAGACATCTGACATGTCTCCTCTAAAACACATGAAAGGTTCACTGTAACAAGTCTGTAGACTCGGTAAAACAGAAGAAGATAACAGAAAGTGCCCAGACAGCCTTTGGATCATCATGCTCTTTGGAGACAATTGCATTTGTCTCGCCTGTTTAGCGGCTTTGCAAGCAGCAGCAGCTCAAGCGGCGACAGTGATTTATTGATCACACTGTGGAAAATCCTTTATCAGAAAAACAGCACAGGAGATACAAAACACAAGAACAAAGTGCAACCAGGATGCTCAGACGGACACAAGGTAGGGAGTCAGATGTCGGAAAATCCATGAAGCAAAAAGAGAGGTTGACTTTAAATAGGACAACAAACACATTTGTATTCACTGTTTAGGTAATAAAAGTAAAAGTAACACTTTGGAAAGCAATTTCTATTGTATTCATATGATTTCAGCCTTTTTATATTTGGTCCCTTAACAACCATCAGGTGGTATTTTATGTGCCAGACCAACACAAAATGTTATTTATTGTGAAAAATACAGACATTGACATATATAGATTTTATAATGTAATAAAACAATGAATAAATAAGGCAAGTGAGGCATGTATTTCTATTCAGTGTCTGAGAATCAACACTATCAATTTCTGTGATTTCAGCTGCAATACATAGTGAGAATATCTCACTATGTATTGTAATACACTATGTAATAACACATATATCATATTCAATAATTTAGAATAAAGGTCCCAACGAGTCTCGTTTGTTAGGTTTAAAGTGCCTTTTCAAAAATTACCTTTCAGCAGGTATTAAACATACCTGCTAAATATTTAGCAGTCTGATATGAGATTGCTGGAGATGTATTATTTTAAATTTGTTTCCATTAGCTGAAAGTGAAAAATCATTATTATTAATAAAGATAAAGGTGTTAAAAGATCAGTTGTGTCTAATTTATCTGTATGATACCTTTCACATCATGTTAGAGCTTCAGAAATAAATGGATTTCACAAAAAACATTTTAATTCATCAAATATCTATGTAGAGATGGATATTTTTATCCATTCTTTTCACTTCTCCAATTGAAATTTAACCTTCTTTTATATGCATCACTTACTGTCTTCCTAATTGTGTGTAGTTACATTATAAATGTGGGGATAAGAATCTAATAAAGAAATGTTTCACTTATATTAATTTTTCAGAAACTTTTAAGCGTATCAAAAACGTCTTAAAGTTTAAAATGCTATTTCTTAAAGTGATTAAAGAGGCAATGACGCTGATACTTAGCCATTTATTCTACAACCCATTGTTAAAGTAAAACATCTGATTTATGCAGAAGTAAAGCTAATATGTTCACTGATCCAAACTGCATTTAAATCTTTGGAAAGGTCAGAGAAGCACATCATGTGGTTGAATGTATTCTCATACCTGCAGTGTATGTGGCAGAGCTGTATCCCAACTTGTTGCCAACCACGCAGGTGAAGTGACCACAAATGGGAGTCATGGTTACAATCAGCATGTCTCCATCCTTGGAGACTTTTCCCACCTGCTGGGTGATGGCAGCTCTCTCGTGCAGCCAGCTGAAGCTGGGGTCTGTCCCCCACGCCTCGTGGCAAACCAGCAAGGAGTGAGACACGTTGATGCTGACGGAGACATGATGAACTGCCTCTGCACAGACACAGAAACTGTGATGAGGTTAAGAATTATGACAGGCAAGTAGGTAAAACTGAGAGATAGATGGAAACAAGAGGCATGAAGTGCTCTGCTTTGGGTTTCTATCCGCTATAGAGCAGGAATAATGGTACACGCTGTCAAAGAGGGTCCAAGACAAAGAACCTTGAGAGACATTTAATGCTGTCAGGAGAGACTGGCTCAGGTTCAAAGCCAATAACGAGATCAGAGAGGGAGGTATTAAGTCTGAAAATGGGATGAAGGGAAAACTGAAAGCTGGAAAGCTACAGTGAGAGAGGAGTCAACTGGAGAGACACAAACAAAAAGGAGAAACAGGAGAACAAAGCCTTTGTGAAATTTAATTTCAAGTGTTACATTTTTAAATGAGACATTCACTTTCAGAAGAACACAACTAATTCTGGTTTGAAGTTAAGGAAAATTCACAGCACTACTGAGTCTGCTGGATGTAAAACTAGAAAGTCCAAATTATCACTTCAACTGCTTTTATACAAAAATGCAAGTAACTGTTGCACTTTAATGGCTTCAACACCTGCTGACCTTTCTGGAGACAGTGAAAATGTGATGCACTCCCATAAAAGACTGTAGCCACTGACTGTGCAAAATGAAGTAATCTGCAGGCCTTAAATGGCAAATAACAGACAGACCAGAAAATTAAATTTGGGACAATGACATTTTCTTTCAGTTTTGTCAGAAAGACTAATTGTATTTAATAGCTAGGGTTTCATTCATGTGAAAACTTTATTTGAAGCTTCTTTGAATTTGTTGTTGAAGATCATTATTCATTTGTTTCACATTTAGAGAATAAATGTGTTTTGACATGTGAAACTCATTTGGAAAAATCTTTTAGAAATAGCAACAAGGAAATAAATGAAGAAAAAATTTCCACAACTTTTGAAACACTTGAAAATTGTATCATTTTGAAGAAATGATACAATGAGGGAAACTGAGGGAATGTTAGAGTTACATAAAATAAGTGGGAAAATGTTCCACGTGTGAAAAGTTTTCTTTCATTTACATATGGATTGTTGTCTTCACTATGATACATGTTATGTGAATTGTATGTATTTAGTTAAATATGGGATGCAAACCTGTAATCATATTTTCTTAAATACACACTCTATTGTCACTTTTTGTTAATCTAAAGCCAAAACACATAGTATTTGTTTAAGAAACATGAAGGTAACTTGGACAAATTCAGTGCAACAAGGTGACTAAAGCATAGTTAATGTCTTGCATCATACTGTACCGTATTCCCTGACGATGCAGCGTCCAGTGGTATTGGCTCCTGAGCGATCTGTCACAGTCACTGAGTACTCTCCGCTGTCTTCTGTGCTGTATCTGTTCATCTCAAGTGTCGTCTCCTGCTGCTTCAAACTCACTTGCACATCTGGCCTTTCACCAGAACACTTTGGGCTTTTGGCAGGACACGTAGCCAGCGTCACTTTGGTCCGATCATGTCCAGTTTCAGGCTCCTGTGTCCACTTTATCATGGAAATCTGTTCCCAGAGATTCTTCTCGATCCGGGCTGTGAGAACCAGCTTGGTGCCTGGGATTACGTGGACAGGCTGCTCATTCAGGATGTGAACTGACATACACCAAAACCTACCAGGCACTGTGAACAAGAGAGGGGTTTATTACTGCAAGCTCTTTTTTTTTGTCTGTTTTTCTTATTGCATGGAGAGTAACGCTCACAAAGAAAACATACTATGATGCAGTGAATCGATCTTTATGCTACAAACATGCATGGATGCAAGGCATATACTGTCTGTCACATAATGTCAGGCAATGATTTATGGTGCATGTCATCCATGTGCAATCTGATAGCCATCAGCATCCTGATGTCTGTATCAAATCCTGTAAAGGCTGCATGCGTGCACTACAAGAACTATTAATCATTTGTCTTAACCTGATCATCAGACTATGGAGGACATGTGAATAACAGAACTGAGGTTACTAATGCAAGAGACTGCTAACAAGAAGTCTTCCATTTACATAAGAGTGCAGAATCTAAAGTTTTTCCACTTCTGTCTTCTTTGATGATTGTAAAAGTATTCTGCTGCCTCATCCTGCAGAGAGACTTTCAAAAAGTATCTTGGTTTCCCTCGTTAAGTTCAATCAAAAATAATACAGATTATTATTAGAACAAAATAAGTCTTACACAACAGAAGAAGTGACAAAACATTCCAGCATCGGAGACACTGCAGATCCATAACACCTGCTGGTGCTGAAAGAAAGTGGAGAGAGAGGAATTTGTCCAAAACCTCAACCGCAACAGCAGGAGCTCGTCATTTTCTCTGTACTCAGGCAGCAGGGGAGCCAAAACAGCAAAAATAATAACATCACCTCCAGAGAAAATGTAATAACAATTAAGGCAGTGTTCACCACCATAACAAGTGGAATACAAATGCTCAGTACAAGCTTCTTTTTCCTCACTGAATTTTTGTGTGTGTAGGTGTGTGTGTGTGTGTGTGTGTGTGAGGAATCCAAAGAAGTGCAGCACAAAAATTAGGAGCTGGAACAGAACAGAGACCATTCTGTTGCCAAAAACTTTCATTTAAAACAGAAAGTGAAAAAAACACGAACCCCTGAAGCACAGTGAGCACCGAAACACAGGGAGGGAAAACGCTGATAACAGCTCAGAAACACAACCTGTATCCCATAAATACATGCAGGAATTTTCTCCTATCGTTTATAGAGAATTAAACCCAACAAAACCAGCAAAAGAAAGATTCACCTTACCAATGGAAAGATGAGGCGAACAGTACCGCAGAGGTTTTCACTCTGTGTTCTCAGAGTGTTCAAGAGGATCACGGTTCAGACTGAAAATAGATTTATGGCCCTAAATGAAGCACCTCCGGAGCGCTATTGGTTACATAATAGGAAATGATTTCTCTCAAAAACAGAGAAAAAGAAACCTCTTGTCTTCGCTGGCTTGTTTGCTGTCCAGTCAGTGTGTGTTTTTCAACCGTCTCTGGTTTTAAACCAGCTTCCTTCCTCTCTACACTCCACCTCTGTACATCCAGTCCTTCCTTCTTCTTTGTAGATTTTATAGGCAAACTTTCAACAATAATAATACAAAAAAATCCCCCTTCCACACCCTCTCCTGCTCTCTCTGACCTGTGACCAAAGCTCCACTCCTCAACATTCAGTCCTTCAACAATGCAGCATGTTCAGCTCCGGACATTCATGAAACTTGTGTTGTAATGTTTGTAAACAGAGATAAAATGTGAAAGTATTCTTTGTATTCTTATTCTTCACAAAACGTTTATGGCTGCAGACACAGTACATTGTGTTGGCTTTATATTGTAAAGCAGAAGCCATGGAGGACGTGATTTATTCTATTCTTATTTATTCCAAATATTGTTCAAGAAAAATATCTTCAGCCGTAAAGGGAAATGCCTACAGTTTTGTTCTCTGGGAAAAGTTTAGGGGAATCACACAAAAACTAATATTTGATTTCATTTTATTGCAACACTTTAACCTGTGAACTTTACAACAGCAGACACAGGAAGCTGTCACAAACCCATTTACGCATACATTTTACACACCCAAAGCATAAAGTATTCAGAGATTAATACAACTGCTCCTCTCCTAACCTGCAGATGAGATAAAAATGATGTAAAAGTGATCATAAATCCCTCAGCATTTCACATTTGATTTATGGATAATCACAGTAAACACAGCTGTGGCTCCCACAGAGCTCTTTGTCCACAGAGCAGCGCAGTTAGCAGGAATTATCCAGTGGGTGGCACTAATCTAACAGATAATCTCTTTTGGTCTTCATACAAGCAGATTTCGCAAATATGAAAAGAGAATCCAAACGCTAATTAAGCAATGTTCAGTTTTTAGTTCACACAAACACATCATGGTACAAGTGAGTGGGAAAGATTAACATAAATATAGATTCCAGATTCCTGAAGGTGTCAAAAGGCAGACGTTAATAGTTATGGGTATTGTGCACCAAGTGGGCGGCACCGTCAAAATTTCTTTAGCCTAATCAACAGAAATCTCTATTTTCATTTCCTTCCTCTCTAAGAGAAAAAATGTAATATCCCTGAGGAAACACCAGTCCAGTTCCAGATTGAACCAGTATATGTTCAAACTGGTTGGTAAAATCCTAATTATAGTGATAACTGTTATTGGAGTCTCTACAGTATTACACAGAAACCAAGAATGAGTCAACCCAGGAGTTTGGCTTGGAGGATTTTCAGCCACTTGGAACAATTTCAGGGTTACTGCCACCCAGCTTTGAATCAGAGATGCTCAGGCCTGAGATGCAGGGGCCTACTACGTGGAAGTTGTCAGCACCGCTATCTCTGGCCTGACCTAAAACTCCAGATCAATACAGCTAAAGTGCTTTGATGATAGATAAAGAAGTGCAGTTCTCCAAGAACAACTTTGTTTTGTATTAGCTTATAAACCTTGAGTAACATCTTCCTTAATTTCATCAATCTGTCTTTTATTTTTGTTAATGCTACTTTAATTATTTAGTTTTTGAAACTCTTGTTTAAAGAATAAATGATAAAAATGGTCTTTATAAAAAAAATTGACTTGTGTAAGAGGAAGAGACAAAGCAGAAGTGGTTTGCACAACATCAGAAAAACATGTGATTATGATAGTTGTGCTGAATAATGCAGTGTCAAATACAGTTACTGTTAACCTAAATTCTCCAATTTTCTTTATTTTCTAAAATTACAGTGCCCTGAACATTTTCTCTGAGCAGCTCTGGCACTAGAGATATACATCTGTGGGTATTGAGGGCAGTTAACATCCATCCAACTTACCAGATGTATTCTTGGCATGCATTGTGTGAATGCAGGGTGCCAGCATTAAATCAGTCCACTGTATTTGAAATATTGCAAATACTGAAAATGCGATGACAATTGCAACTTGATTTTTTTTGCAGCTATAAAAGGAAGCAATCATTTTTAAGAGGAATATGGAAGAGCAAAGAAAGAAAGGAGGATTTGTTGAGCGCTGGCCACATGCTGGCCTAGTTTCTCAGTCTTGTTTCCATGTTATAATTGAGATTTTTCTGAGGAATACTTGAGCTAGAGTTCAGGCAGAGTGAGGATGTGCAGTAAAGACCAAAAAACATTTATTACAAGCTCTGTTTGTGTCCCCACTCGACCATGATGAACTGTAGAGTTTTCTTGAATGTTATGAAAAACAAACAAACTGTGGTATTAGTACTTCTCGTATGTATGGAAACACTGCATATGGCTACTTCTGTCAAGTAATGTCAGTGGATGATTTATGGTGCATGTCAGCCATGCGCAAAGTGATAGCCATCAGCTCACATCAGCATCCTGAAGTTGGTGTCAAAATATGCTAAGCTTGTGAGGATGGACCAAGAGGGCTATTAATCATTTGTCTTAATTCAATCAGTGAACTATGGAGGGAATGTAAATAATGCAAGAGTGATTATTAATGCAGAAGGCAGTTTACCAAGAGTCTGAAACATTTCTAAAACTCACAAAACTATTTAGGAACAGAATATGGAAGAAAATCTTTCTATACATCTCACAATGGCATCAACGATATCAGAGAGAGCACACAACAAAATAAAACAAAACTTATGGCCAACTACACATGAGTTTTTGTTGCTGAATCAACTGATGTCTGAACAGACTTTCTAAAACAGTAAAACTTACAATAGGTTTCAAATGAGAAGGTGGGAAAGGTCAAATACAAACATTTAAATACAAACATCCAATAATAAAGTTAATAAAGTCTAGAAATGTAAAGATTTGAGAGGCAGTGATAGTACTAACACCTGTATTTTGTGTTCATTCTTAATTACAAATATGCTTTTTTTTCATTTGATGGTTGATTTGGTTTGGCAGTCAGTCAGAGAACAAGAAAAAACAAAACACACTCAAAGTTTGAAGCAGAAAGCTTTCATATATTTATTTATAAAAACACATACATCTTGTTTTCTAATTATGTAAAAAGTATGAGACATTGTGGATACTTTCTCCAAGGTTGAATTGAGCTTTTCTACAACAGCATCACAGGTTGTCTTAACAATAAAGACCTGGTTACTAAAAATACCAGGGTTTAGATATGGACGATCAGTCAGAAATAAAACTGTCTGAAAACCGCCAACACTCAATTAAAGCAGAAATCATTTTTATGTAGCTTAAAATTCAACAGAACATTTAGAATAATTTCCATAGAATATTTTTCAAATTCACACTGAACCCTTATTAGCCTGAGAAAACCTCTTTAGCTACTATTTATAGCTAATAAATAGACTAATTAGCTATTAATTGTTTTTAATAACTAATAAAACATAAGCGCACCGTCTGTGAACTGCCGGGGTTTCCCAGGAATGCTTTCACTTTCAGTTACGTAAATGTGTCCTGGCCCTTTAAGACACAGGTGTGACCCGGCGGTGACAGGTGAAGCAGACACAGGAAGCTGCCACATTAGGAAACAAGCGATACATTTGAAGCCGTATCGGTGTAAAAACAACATGAGTGAAGGACGAAAGCATTTTGGTAAGAGTTATACAACCATTTATAGGCTCGTCTAAATTTTAAAGACGCAGTTTGTGTTGAAAACAAAGAAGAATTTGTGATTAGATATCTCTAACAGCATTTTGTGATGAAATGACTGTTAAACCTTTAAAAACGCAGGCCTTTGCATTTAAGGTAGTGTTGTTTGTTATTTGACCACAGACTGGCCTGACTGACGCAATGAAGGGCTGGCTCTCCACCGGTCTGTCTCTGGCAGGTAAAAATCATTTGCTGCGTCGGTTTCTTCTCTTCTTCCTGTTGTGTCCATCAAACACCCACACTATCTCTGAGTAGTTTCGGTAGAGTATTTACTGTGGGGAAAAAAATGCACGGAACAAGTGAGAGTCGGATCGCTGAAATATTTCAGGCACGTAAATAAAACAGTCGCGGTTCGCGCTCCCAAACCTTCTTCCATGTGAACCAACCAGTGATGGACGTGATGCCTTCAGAGGGTCAATTACTGGCTTTAAAATCCATTTTCAACGTAGAAATATGTCATCATTGATTTTCAAGAAAACGGTAGGTAATTAAAGATGTACAGAGATTTTAAACACAGTTATTACTGCTTGTGGTAAGTTGCCAAGGACAGTTAATCCTACATAGGAAAAACTCAAACAAGTCATTTGGTTCTCTTGATTTTCTCCAACTTTCACAATGATTGGCTCTCCTCGGTATTCCCTGGAAATGATGTACTAAAAGCTTTAAACTAATTCAATATTGTATTGCAGAAGTGCAAATTATTACTTTGCAAAGTTTTATATAAAACAAACTTATTCTAACTTACCTTTTTGTCATTGAGAGAAAAACATCCCACATTAAGGGATATTTGTTTCAACAAAATCATTCTGCAATTGTTTCACTTTTACATACATTATATTTCTTAGGACTGAAGCACGAGAAGGACATTTATTTATTTATTTTTTTATTTGCAGCTGAGATCAGGGGTCTCTCATATTCTCTTTTCTTTATCTCACATTGTTGGTCTGCTGCTTAAATTAGATCTTGTACTTTATGTTTTTCTAGGAGACATGACTTCATTCTATTTGGAGAACATTTAAGTCAAATAGAGGTAATCCAGTCCTCAAGGCCTACAGGCCTGCAACTTTTATGTTGCTCTGATTGATATTATTTCTTATTAAAAATCAACACCTAATTTCCCCACTTCAAGAGCGTGTTGTCTTGTCAAAGGCTCGGTCAAATGGTGGGATGAAAATCAACTCCTCTAAACCTCAAACCATGGTCTTGAGCAGAAAAAGGGCACAGTACTTTCTCTGAGTTGAGGATGAAGTCCTGGAACAAGTAGATGAGTTAATTATAGCGTCTTGTGGATGAATGAGGGAAAAAAAATTCCCTCATTCACCAATAAGTGGATTGTTAGGCCATCTGCAGGAATGTGAGAGCTGAATGGCAAAAAACAAAAAACAAAGTGATGTTAAATTAAAACAGAATAATAGCTAATTACTTTTCAGCTAAATTTCTAATCTCTGTATGTTAAAATTGTGCCACCTTAGGTGTCTGTTTAGTTCTAAATAATTATTCAACATGAAAAATGGGTGTTAAGAAATAATTAAAGTTTACAGAATTGTGCTAAAATACTTGCTACATGCATGAAATCATCCTTTCTCCCTAATGTGTAAAACAAAGGGGAGCTTTTGACTGTTTTGTGCATTAAATTAAATCCAAGCTCATCTTAAGAAAATTAATTGCACTGAAATTTTTAGACAAGTGGTGCATTAGTAAGGATTAGGGAAACTATCTGGAGAAATTATTAGGAGGAAAATAAGCTGCCTTCAACCAAAGTAGTAGTATTATATTTTAACGTTATTGTGCATTGAACCACGAAAATGCACAATACAAAAAAAAAAGTATAATATCGACAAATATCAATTTTTAAGTGTCTGTTGCAGTGAGATGAGCAAAGAAAATTATCACTAGGAATGCAAATTATATTTTAATTTGTTTATTAGCTTAGGGCTGTTGTTCATGCATGACAGATAATAATTGAAGTAATCATTAGAAGCATTTTCAAATTATTAAATACACATTTTGTTGTTTAAAGATCCCACGAAACAGCCATCCAAGCAGAAATGTCTACAAAAATTCAATTGCCCTTCTAAATCTTTGCTGTGCCTCTCATACGTGATTTTCTGGAAGAATCAGAGATATAAACCTTTGGACAAACACAAAAACAATTGTTCAAGCTGAAGAGATCGATTGTCGGGTTAAAATTTCATTCTCTTTGGATCAACACAGAAAAACCTGAAGCTCAGCAACAAAATATCAAATTGTTTCTTTCTGTGATATAAAGTCTGCTTTATTGTCATCAACAGCAGTTGGCAACTTGGCCTACAACCTTGGGGTTACATTTCAAGTTAGATTAGAAATGGACATAAATACTTTTTCCTTAATTTTACCCAACTCTTAATCAGCCTTCTGGTATTTGTGAAAGATTTCCAACAGCCCTTAAACTGCTACATCACTCATGGGTGTTGTTCTCATGACTCATTAGTCTTTGAAATGCAACAAAAGGTAGAAGCATTTAACCCTTTTGTTTATAACTCTTAGTCAAGTAACTGAGGTTGCTGTATTTTTTTTCTCCTTCTTTAAAGGTTGTGAAATAAAAGTCCAGTGAGATCGATCATATAGTTTAGTGGACAGAGGTCTCTTCGATGGTTTTATGTGCCAGTGAAAAGGGACCACTGATTCAGGTGACTCTTTCCTGCCTGAACATGCGATACTGTAAAACAATAAATCCTTAAGATACATAAAATGTATTCAGTTTATTGTTTCAGAGAACATTTTCCCCTAAACATTTACAAACTGTCTAAAGTACCTTGAAAAAGGATTCATATCTCTTAAACCTTTTCACATTTATACTTTCATATGTTTACTCTGACTTTATATGGAGGAACAACACAAAGAAGAACATAATTTCAAATTGAAGGCAAAGGAAAGATGGTTTTTAACTAAAGCTGAAGTCTAAAACATGTCATGCCTTTGATTTTCCCTGAGTCAGTTCTCTGCAGCTACTGGGGGAAGGCAGTTTGGATATAACTCTCTACCACCTTTGCACTTCAAGTGACTGAAAAATAGGTCAATCTCAGACTGAATAGAAGAGAAGTTTTTCAGTCTTGCCAAAGATTGTAACACAGCTTAGTTTTGGCTGCATATTTAGCCTCTTTGTTCTAGAAGGTGAACTTCTGGCCAAACCTCAAGTCTTTTCCAGCCTACAACAACAACAGGCTTTCTACCAGGATTACCCTGTATTTAGCACTCAGCTGCACTGTGTCTGCTGAAGAAAAGCATACCAACAGCATGATGCTGTTTCATATCGTATTTTAGGATTGTAGACTGGTAGACTTCGTTTACTAAAGCAAAATGGTTTCATTGGAGTGGTATCAAAGGGGCCTAAATAGTATTGTGCACTTCACAGGTTATGTTTTGTTCCTTTTCTTGCCACTAAAAAATAATGTATTACTTTATAATGGCATATCTATAGAATTTTCTGTGAAACACAGACAGGTTATTTGATGTTTTATTAGTTTTGTAAGTCACATAAATTTGCAAACTGAGTTTTTACTGAAGCTCATTTCAGGTTGTAGAGGCCCGTTTTTTGTCACAACTCCTATGCAAATAAAGTTTGTTTCATCTCTGTTTGGCATCAACATGTGGTCAAAGTAATTTTCAAGCTCTGGCAGAATTTTCAGGCTTATTTTTTGCATCAAATGCCACATTGGCTGTGGCTCAATATACTGTGATCACACTGTGAATTCAACTTGGAACATTTATTTTGCAGGAGTTGTCTTTGAAAGTTTTAGCTTTTGATCCACATGCAAAACACTTGACAGTGCACTCATTGCACTCAAGCCTTTTGACCTCCGGTATTGTTACTGAAGTGTACTGCTGAGCAACATAATGTAAGTGGAACCAAATGGGTGGCAATGTTGGGTCTGTGTGATTTGCAGTACTACTGCTTCTTCACACATGACATGATGCACATAGACCAGAATTTTTTATTTTGTTCTTATTTGTTCAGAACACTTTCTTCACAAACTTAAAGTGTCCTCAACATGGCTCCTTGTAACCAAATGGAACTGGTTATAGGTTTCGTCCAACCTGTTTGTGGTTGAAGCATGATTTCTTCATTCACATCTTAATTCTGCTATTAAATATTAAGAAGAACAACGTATTATGTTTAAAAAAAAAAACAAGTATTTCCAACATAGATGACAATTCTCTAGCCATTTTCTTGCCAAGGAGGATAGAAAAATCAGCTTGAGGTGCAAGTATAAAAATAGAAGCTAATTGTTTAGCTGGGCGTCACAATCCAAACAAACAAGATGGTCAAAGAATGCAGAAAGAAAGATGGCACACCTTTGTGTCTGAAGCTTTCACAATCCAAACTGTGAGTCTTCAGCAAAGTAAAAAATATGTTCAAGTTGTATTAGAAATGTAGAAATATATTTTTATGCAGTACGTAACACAAAATTTAGAGCATAATCTGATTACTTTTGTTTAAAACAGAAAAACAACAATATTCCAGTTTTTGCACACCATCTTAATACAGTTATGTTTTCTATATGCTATGTTGATTTTGAGGAATAGATGTAGTAAAACTAAAATAAACACCTCAGTAATAGCTTACCTTTGTCTACCTTTTTGCACTTTTCCTTTTAAAGATTAACACAGGTCAACAAGATGTTATTAGATGGTTAATTAGTTGACTATCTGCATTGTGGCCACTCTACAGTAAGCTAATAGATTTTAGACAGCTTGATAAATGAAGCATGCTTTGTTTCTTGTGAGAGAAATGTTTTGCTGCCTTCTTTGTCATCTAACCAACAGTGAGCAACTCAAGGTGGGACAGGGGTAGCGCAGCATTACGCCTCAAACAGCCAGAGAAAACTCTGGAGGATGTGACACTTTTTCTTGAATTTAATTGAAAGGACTTTGAAACCACAGTGTTATGATGACATTTTATTTGTACATTAAATGCTGTCAGAACTACTGCTTGTTAAGATGACCAAAAAGCCTTAAAAGCATTTTTTTTGTCATTTCAGAAGGATAATCAGTCACCATTCTTTAAAACAGAGGTGCTCAAACTTTTTGAGACCAAGATCTACTTTTTCTCTCACCAGCCGGCTCTCACCATCAGGTTTTAAAGTTTAAAACTTAATGTTTTCATCTTCAGTAGAAGAAATAATCCCCACTGAATCATTTTGCTTGTCTAACAGACCACATCCAAAATTCTAGGTACCTTAGACAGTTTTTGTTAAATCAAATGTAACTCGAGCATTTGTTTAAAAATACATTATTGTCTTTTCCAAGTCTTTCACCATACTAGATGAACGTGTTAAGTATTTGTTAGTAACCACCTTTTGTGTGTTGTAAATATAACACTATACAGGGGCCCATTTTTCTTAGCTACTCTTCAAAATTGAAAGAACAAGAGAACATTTCATTTACATTCAACTTTTACATTTAGCTCCCAATATGTTATTTGAAAAGTTTAGAAGAATTGGAAACTATGACAAGCATTGAAGCTCACCTCACCACCATGGAAAGACGGTGAAGAGGAAATATCTATTGAAACTGATACTAATTCGACTGAACTGAAAGATTTTTGTGCAGACTATGCAACCACACTAAAAACGGTAAATTTATATGTTTAATCACAGAGGAAAGAATCTTTCATTAATCTTTCATCCTGTCAGAAATAATTCAATTACAAATAGAACTTTAATGGTGAAATGGTTAATATATTTTTTAAAACATGTAATAGATGGGCTTTGGTACCATTTAATAGGTCATTTTAAAGGCTGAATAACCTTTATGTAGCCATCAGTTTGTACTCCATACTGTAATGCTTCTGATGTAGCTCCACCTGTTGGTGGTTTTATTATTCACCCAAACAAAAGTTGATGTCAGATATTTTGTACTTTGTATATATTTTTTTATATTACTTTATTTTTCTTTTAGTTCTCCTTTCTGCAAAAGTCCTGGCACAGACCCCAGTGCCAATCAACTTCATCCCAGCTCTGGTGCAGGTCCAAACAGGCAGTGATATCCTGTTCACAGTGCAGGTTGACGCTGCTGTTTTCTCCATGTCATGGGCTTACCAAACGGGAGCTACTCTGGGTATGTGGACCCCATCTGCCTCTTCTGACAACAATGTACCTCAGTTCCAAGGCAGACTCGTCTTCAGTGCCACCCAGCTTCGAATCAGAGCAGCTCAGCTCAACGATGCAGGGTTCTACACAGTGGATGTGGTGCCCGCCTCTTCCACAGGCTTTGTGAAAAACTCCCGATCCGTGGAGCTGAAGGTGTTTGGTAAGAAATAAAGGAGTGTGTCTGAATGCAAATAAAGAAGGGGTGGTGTATGTGAGAAAGTGTATGAGAGAGCAAAGGCAGAAGACGGAGAAAAGGAGGGGGTGTAAATTAATCTGGGAGGTATAATGAAATTAGTGACCCACAGACAGTCAGGTAAAAGTAATGAAAAAGTAGGAGGGGAGGAAGCGAGTAGCTACAGGCTTTATGCCAATTAAAACCCATTTGATGTGCAGAACCCATGCTCTAGATGTCTAATATCCTCTAAAGGCAGTGCTGAAAGTAGAGACTGTAGCATTCATTTATATTTGGTACTGTATTGGAGCCTGAACAGCTGAGTGTCTTTTTATTTCCAGCCCACACTGGAAGGATAACACACAGAATTGCTCTCCTCTCTCAGCAATACTAGGATGGAAAGGTGACCGAATTATCTGAAGTCTGTTTTTGCTGAAAGGTCACGTTTTTCCAAACCAGTCCTTGAGCTGTATTCTGAACATCTTGTTTACTCACTTGATGCTCTTCGGAATCAGAGGCTGCTTAAATCCTGAAATATGAAATGCTCCTGCTGAGTCACACTTATGCGGATGCTCTGAGAAAGTAATTAGGGCTGTTTAGTAGTGGCTCTAATGTTTTTGTTTGTTTGCTGTAGCTGCCGCGGTTCCTCTATTCTCTATGCTCTGTCCTCTATCCATACGCCCCCTCTTGTCCCCGTCCAATTATTTAACGTAGGCAGTCTGCCAGGAGGCATCTTGGCTACCACCCGCATCGTTTGCCCTCTTATTCACCATCTGTGCTTCTAGCTAAATGCTGTCCCTTCTCAGCCCTTTCTTGCTTGGATTACAACAAATTTTCCTCTACAGAAACGGCAAACTGCTCCCTATTGTACCATAGCTCCAACTTTTGTGGTGTGTTCTCAGGCTGCAAATCTACATTCACTGTTTTGCTGAGATCTTAGGTAAAATGTTTGTGTTTTGTTTGCAGACCCAGTTGCTGGGATAAGTCTGACTGTCCCTTCAGTGGCAGTGGAGGAGAAAAATGTGTCTCTGAGTTGCACGTGGACCGGTGGTACTAAAGTAACTGCACAGTGGCAGAAAGATGGCACAGCCATCACACCCGATTCTAGAATCACCATCTCCAGTGGCTTTTTAGTAATCAACCCAGCCAGACGTGATGATGCCGGAGAGTACTCTTGCACCGCCAGCAACAATGTCAGCGCCCAGACTTCCACAAAGAGCCTCACTGTCTACTGTGAGTTTACACTGACCAAGACAAGAGGCAGCTAATCTGCTGTGACCACAACAAATGGCAGAGGCTTATCTCCCTATCCACATTGCACTGCACGCTGCGTACTGAATTACGCCCGAATTGCACAAGACATCCTTCCAGAAGCTCACAGTGTTGCTTTTGGCTTTGTCCTGATCACATCATTAATTCTGATACGATGGTCTTACAGCAGAATATCTCACTGCCATTCTTATGCAATGCATCACTGTCCTTTTACATCAGAAAAAATGGTCCCTTTAACTAATAGAAAAAAAAAAAGAAAAGGCTCAAAACATTTTGGGTCTGGTAGATGGAAGGCACATAAAAATGAAGTGTCTTTATTTTACCCTCTGGTGCAAAAAAAAAAAAAAAATTCTTGAGAGGTATTGGTTGCAACAAAAATATGTGATATGACTGATCACTGGGCCTTATGCTTTCCTGCTGCCTGAATGTATCTTGTAAATCTTGAAGTGCAACTAATGATCATTTTCAACCTCAATTCATTTCTAGTTTTATTTTTTTAAAGCGATTGGTCAGTCTACAATTTAACAGTAAAATTGTGAAAAATGTCCTTTACCTGGTTGGCTTGGTTTTCAGGCCAACATGATTTACAATGGTGTTGTCATATTTTACATGGACAAAAGTGGTCAGTTGTTTTGCAACCTTGAGTTACTATAAGTTTAAAAATGCATTTGACAGCTTGGCAGATCTCAGATCATGTGTGGATTCTGATTGGAGTTCTGCTTTAGGTTGTTGTACCATAAACCCTCTGAAAATATATGTGAATTGCATTGCTCCAAATTTTAAGTACCTTGCAAGTTTACAAGAAACTTGAACTTTTTGAAATGTCACCTTGTTTGCCAGAATGACATCATGTGACAGTTTCACACTAAAGTCGTGAATGACTTGAAAGTGTAAGTTTGTAGCATTAAACCCTCAATTCTTTGGCATTTATTTGCATTTAGCCCCCTTTACCTTGATACTTAAATAAAATTCAGTACAACCATTTCCCTTCAGAACTCACTTAATTAGTAGCGTCCACCTTTGTGTTAATTCATATTAAAATAATAAAACACAGTGTGGAAGAAGGTGGTTTGGTCAACCAAAATGAACCTTTTACATGCCAAGTGGTACATGCAGTGAGAATTGAGCATTGCTCATCATACTAGATGCACAATAAAAGATAATTTCTTGTAGCTAAGCATAGTTTAGTCCTGGAAGAAAACCTTTTAGAGGGTATATGTAGCTTCAGATTTGAGTGGAGGTTCACTTTCCAGCACAAAAACAACTAGAAACATAAAGTTAAATGCAGTAATTTAGAACAAAACATTTTTAATGTATTTTATATGGAAACCAAACCTTTTTAGATTATATATTTTTTCAGTTTCATTTCTATCACATAAGATCCTAAGAATTTTATGTGATCGATAAGATGTTAGTTTGTGGTTCTGTTGTGATAAAGAGCGAAAAAGGTATAAAGTGTGCTATCATTGAAGTTACTGCTCAATTCATCAAATAAAAACTTGAGAAATATAAACATGCAAATACTTCTCTTTGTAAAATATTGTCTTTAAGAAAATAAGCTTTCCTAATACATGTTGTATTAATAAAAAAAAAGTCCTTGGTAGATAGACATTTTGACATTCTCTGGTCCTACTATTGGTTACACCTACCTCATGGCTACCATTCAACCTTGCATTATGCACATGCATTAGTTATGCTCAATTTGTAGACTACACATCAATTTGAAGAAGTATCTCTAGGACAATGGAAGGAAAAGGAAGTGAGCCACTTCAGAAAGATTTAAACACCTGTTTTTGCTTTGAAATTGTGGACAGCTGCTCACAGACTCATAATGAAAAATATGTTTCTTTCAAGATGAATCTGAGGCATGTTAGACAATGGAAAACACGACAGGATTTGAACAATTTCTGAAATCACAACACACATAGAACCTGACTGTTTTTAGCAACATAAAACCAAATGGCGTCTTCTGTCTTGGTTCCTTTCCTTAAGTCTTTTTTTTAAATGGAAATGTTCCCCTTAAATCCCACAGCAAATACAGTTTTTAAATTCTGGAATAAAACACAAAGTGCCCGTCTCTCGCTCATTAGCTGAGGAAGTTCAAAGAGGGTTAACTGCAGTGATTAAGCCTAATGAGGTAACTAAAGGCCTTAACTTACACAGTAATTCCCCCTTTAGCAGAACCTGCCATTTGTCAATCACTGAATTATGTCATGTTTGGTGACAAATGCTTTGTGATCATAACTGACCAGATGGACCCAACACTCCCGTCCTGACTGTCGACTCCCCAAAGAAATGCGTCGGTGGAGGGGACGTGTTGGTGGGCCAAGCAGTGCGTCTCACCTGTACTTCGACCTCGCTGCCCTCTGCCACGTTCTCATGGGAACGTGACGGACAGCCCATCTCATCCGGGGCGCCAGACAGTGGGGTGCTCAGTCTCCAGACCTTCTCGACTAAAGAGAGTGGCCAGTATGCGTGCATAGCCACAAACAGCATCACCAGGGGCACGTCGAAGCAGAGCTATAACTTGACAGTTGTGGGTGAGTTATGGTGAATGCTTGCCTCTGTGACCGATGATGGTCTAGGTTGGTTTTCGGAGTTGCTGCTGTATCTGTCTTCACAACAGGAGAGGGACAGTGAGCATCCTGGGAGATTGATCTAGTGAGATTGTGGTCAAAGTCGTTCAGTGACTCAGCTTTCTCCTTTTGGGTCTTTTCTAATGTTGCTTCTTTCCTGTAGTTACTTCCTCATCCTTTTGTTCTTTCTTCCTTCCATCCTCTTTCTTGTCTCTCTGAGCTTCAGAATCACTACCTTTATTAATTCTCCTTCCATGACTCTCTTCTCTCTGTTTCAGGTGTTTGTTTTGATGGAGGGGAAGTTGCAGGGATTGTGATTGGAGCTTTCCTGGGCCTCCTAATCATTGTGCTTCTTATTTTGTTCCTCGTTGTTCTTGTGCGAAGGAAAAGAGGTAAGTCTGTAGTCGAACAGTCATCGTAATATTTTTAACGTTCATTTCTAATGTGAGTAATTTTTTTGCCTTAAGATGCCAATTTATTCTTTTGTTATTACAGCACAGGCACAAAGGAGCAATGTTGTGTTTGATCCGGAGACAGATCCAATTGGAAGACCTCTGGTAAGCCACCACAAAGTTTACACATGATTCACTATTGATTTTGTCTTTATTCTGTCATTACGATGCCGTTGAAGGCCCCTTCACAAATAGATCCTATCTTTCTTTTGCTCTCTCTTCCATGCCCTCATTTATCACCTGGTCACTTCAAGCCTCCAGATCCTCAAACTAATGGTGTATGGAATTTGGACCAAGGTCTCCAGCCTCCGCTCCATCAGACGAACAGGCAAGCAAACCAACCTGAGCACTTAATCACCAACAACCTTGAAACCCAGGCAAGCCCACAGGCGCGGACTCTGAACAGAGAGCGTGACTTTGACGTTCAGCAAAATAATAGCCGCACTCGCACAAACCAACGTCGGCAAAATCTTACCTCATACCCAAACGATGGCTTTGACAATCCAGCTTTTACACACATGGATTCTCAGAATGTAAGCTTGGCTCCGAGCATGCAGCAGCAGCAAAATCCAAACATTCTTATTCAGGCCGTACCTGGGCAGGGTGGCAGACAGCCTCCAGCAGTTCAAGTCAGCCTCAATTCTAATAATCCAAACAACAATGCTCATATACCCACTATTAATGTCAACCTCAACTCCTATCCAGGCAATGGCCAACAGGCTCTGCAAGAAAGTTCTTCTCCTCCAAGTAATCAAGGCTTTAATGGTGTTCCACAAACGCGAAACAACTTCAGAGACACAAGGTGGTTGAATGCTGCAACACAAGGCGGACAGTTCTATCCAAGTAACCACAGACTAAATGGTCATGTTAATCAAAATTATCAAGATGAAGCTGGACTTATTCCAACTGGATACACACATTTTAATAACAATATGACTTCCCAGCTAAATGAAAACACACAGACCTATCAGCAGGAGCCAGAGCCTCATAGAAGACCAGACAGAGAGTCAAGACAACATGAGTCAACACCGAGATCCAGGCAGAGACAGATCCCATGGGACTTTCTCAGAGGAACTCCAGCATACCCCAACGGGACGCCTCAAAGAGTACAAATGCAACCTGAAGCTGATTCAGATTACAGTGCAGAGTACACCGTGCATCCTCCCATACGAGAGGGACGTACAGTAAACAGACTGCCACCTCAGAGCCAAGCCGATACACGGCGGAGAACTCCTCCGAGACGCGATCCACCCTCAGAGGACAGTCAGACCTATCATGCTGCTGATCGTCCTCAAAATGCTAATAATGATATGCTCCCTGAGCACTCACACCACACACAGAGAAACCCCCGTGCAGAGAGGGAAAGGTCTCAGCGAGACATCAGAGGTAGCCAGACTGCCCCCAGGCAGGAAACTACTCGCAGCAATAACCCCCAGGCATCGCCGCTCATGAGCCAGCAGGCCTCTGCAGGCAACGCTGTTATGTCACAAGAACCCACAGCACAACAGGGACTTACTACACCACAGGGCACAGATACAAGAGCTTTGGCTGATCCTAATCACCTTCACCAGCCCCACACAGCACAACAAAACATAGTTGCACCAGCCCAAACACGGCGAGGTCAGACACAGCCTGTCATGCACGGTGCCATCCAGCCGCGTCAGAGGGGCGCCGATCCAGTCCCAGTGCCTCCTGCCCAGCATAATTCCAGTAACCTAACCCAGGCTGCAGTGAGAGCCCACACTGAGAGGGCTCAAGTATTTAAAAATCGGAGAGAGCAAACTCAGACGGCCCTGATTCACTCTGGCACAGTGCAGACTCCAGCTCCTGCTGCTGGAGGTCAACAGCCACCTCCGCCTCCTCCTCCTATCCCTCTGGAACAGTTTCAAGCCCTTCCCAAGACACACACCCAACACAAATCCCCAACAAGGGTTCCACAGCCGCTCAGACAGAACATGCCAGCAACTCAGCGGCAGCACGGTGCATCTCGCCACACCACCATGATGCCTCGCAACCACCACCATCATCCTGGCCACGCGCAGGCAGGCGCACACCGGCACGGCCATGTGCACACTCACAATCACAGGCATCCCGCCAATGCTGCTGCATGGCAGGTGAGTATGCATAAAGATAGCAGGCAGCAGATGCCATATGGTTAATGATCATATTATTTTCTCCAGCATGTGGCCCTCTCTCAGATGTGCACCTTTAGCAAATGCTTGCTGTGTTTGTGAATTATTATTAGCTCATTTTCATTCTTCCCAGCAGTTTCTCTTTTTCTCTAATCTGTTTATTTCTTTCTGCATATGAAATCTTCTGTAAGCTTGCAGTGCTTTGCAAAACTATATATTTTTTACTTGTAAATTTGGTCACATTCTAACCACAACTTCAGTTTATTGTGTATGCATTTTTTTGCCGTAGGTATAGTTGTAAATTATGAACAAAAACTTGTGATTTTGTTAATATTTTGCAAATAAAAAGTGTGGCATGTACCTATTTGGGCTATGTCTCAGCCATATTAACAGACAGAACATTTTCCCTGTTCACCTTTGCAAACTAACTTTTGTTCACACAAACAGATGCTCTCTGTCAGATATGACTGAGATCATCTCTGTATGAAAAAAACTGTTCTTGCCACTGATTTTCAATCGTATTTAGATCTGGACTTTCACTAGACCTTTCAAACATTTAAGCATGCTTTGATCTAATCTACAGGAAGCTGAACATCTTCCTCAGTTTCATCTTGTAGAGACTATGTTTCTTTTATGTTTATTTTGTGATTTTTTTGTTTTTTTCTGAATTTTTTTATTCAGCATTTGCTTTTTTCTCTGCAAGATTTGTGGCAAGCTTTAAACAGAACTTCTTTGTGGTTTTTGAACAGTAGAGTTTCCCAGCCACTTTTTCTATAGAAGTCAGATTTGTGGACTGTAAAAAAAATAAAAAATTCTTACACCTGAGATGTGGATCTTCGTGGTTCATCAAGAGTCATTATGCACACATTGGCTAATAATTAATGTATTGGTAGCATAGGATATTTGTATAGGTATTAAAGGTGGCACAACATTTTTCAGCGTTGTACGCATTTTATTTGTAAAACATCTTGACATGAAACATGTATTTTTTTCTCTTACGTCACATTTATGCACTTCTCAATGAAACACACTGAATTGTTTGGTTGTAAAGTGACAAAATACACAAAATACTGTAGAATAAGTATGTATACTTTTGCAAGGCACTGTATGTCTTTTCACTATCGTTTTCATACCTTAAAAACTGTCCTTACTCCTTTGTGTTTGTGAGAGTAGTTTATCATAGTAGCTGTGTGACTGCTGCCTCCTCTGCATGACATGTTGCCAATGAGGGCCTTGTTGTGTCTTTCCAGCAACAAGCCCACAGAGGAAGACCAAGATGATGACAGATGTCAGCAGACAAGGCTCTGCAACTATCCCGCATGCACTGTCACAAACAAACAGCTGACAGACGTGATCTAATATTCCACCAAGCAGGACCGACTCCACAGAGTCTGCTTTCCAAAAAGACTGTCATTCCCTGAAAGTTGGTGCAAATTCAGATTTTCTGCAGAAGGAGTGAACACATCACCCATGGTGATATTAAGCTTTCAGTGTTGTCAATTTCTTTGAAAGAAATATGGTCCCTTTGAGAATTTACAAAATCAGATTATCTGAACGATGCTTAAGTTATCAGTAAAAAGCAGCACTAACAGGATAGCTCATTGTTCCACAGACCCCGATATTTTGTGCTGTTTTGACTCCCAACTCACTGGTCATATATCAAAATTTGCCCAGAGTCTGCTCAAAGAAAGTTTAATGATCAATGGCTCCTGACCATGTTCGTATCCTACCATTCATTCATCAACACAACTAAACACTCCTGTGATAAATTACACGAGAAGCAGTTGCATGAATATCTGTGAACACCTGAGCTAGCAGTGACAGACTGTAAATGGAAAAGGGACCCCGGCGCAAGATGGACTCAGCTGCCGGTAGTGGTGACAGTTATGAAAGAAGAAATTAGCAGTAGGGGTGGTCTTGACTCACACTGAGCTATTTATTTTGTGCCTTCTGTTAGCGGATGCCTCTTCTGACACTTCTCAATTAAGAGGATTCGCCTCACTGGTGCTCGGAAATAACGCTCAGCTTCACAAGAAGGGGGATCCCGTGAACGGATGGGCGCTTATTAATTAAATGCTTTTATGTGACTTAAATGGCTTGGAAAATAATCACACTGAACCATGAATGAGGTCAGCTTAAAGAGCTGAAACTGTCATGCTTTTCTGCTGAAAAAGCAGAGTTGTCATTTTACTGGGTCATGCACATATTTTTCTTTTGCTGTTTATGTATTTATTGATTTATAATGGTTATATTTTCATAGCAGAAGCACCACACACTGCTGTGTATATGTCTAAAGCTATAGCTCTAGTTTATTTGCAGAACATACTCAGATGTGTTTGACTATTAAGGAAGTGAGGTCTCTCAAGTAGTCAGGAGCAGTCAGTATTTTACCTGCTGTTGACAGCTGTCTGACTCAATCACCCAGCTAATCACAGTAGACCAAAAATTAAAGAGGATCTTACACAAATTTTGAAGCCGTGATGTGAATGATATGCTACCTTTCATTACCTTTGAGTTAGTAAAGCTCTATTAGATCCAAGGTGTGGATTAAGACCCCAAGGAAGATGTTTTTTGTGACATATTTTTAAAACCAGACCCATATGTATCTTCAAGGTTTACAAAACTGTAGTATATGCCATGTGCATTATTTTAATGATCTAACAACTCTGGGTTGCCTCTACAAAACATTTCCACCATTAGCAATAATATTCACAGTGGAAGAGAGACTGTATTAGCTGCTGCCTCTTCCTGTCAGTATCTGTCCTGCTGAAAGCAGCTGAAATACTAGTTCTTCAATATTTTGACATTCAAAGCAAGTTTATGCAAGTTTTTCTATATTTTTCCACTCATAGAGTCTTAAAGAAGATGTAAGATAGAGTAAAAATGCTATCACAAGCTAACCACTTGAGCAAACTAAGCCACATGAGCCAAATATGTCTGCAAAAACAAAATGATATTCTGCAGAAACCACAGGTTTGACTAAATGTGTCATAGTCAAACAAATGTTTGCTGTAGTATTCATCTCTAATGAGTGACTAAAGTGAGGCATGCAGAATACTTTTGTGGACCTTATAATACTGATGAAATTCAATGTTCTGTTTTACTGCACTATAACTCTGCTAGACTTTTAAATATTGCACAAATTTTAATGTTTTTTTCGGTTGGAACTGTTCAGAAAAATTAATTTCTGGAAAAGGAACAAAACCTAATGCAAGATGACTGTTTACAAAAATTATGTGCATATTTACACGAACTCTGTATTTGGCCAGAAAAGCTGCATGATAAAAATGTAATTGGATGGATTTTAATATTGCATGGTTTTGTAACACCAATGTTAAATAGGCAGTTATTAACAAACTGCAGACAATGTAAATACCTCCTTCTATTTACATAGTGAAGATAATGTAGACGTTTATAAAATAATGCAGATGGATAAGACGTGCTATTAAGCTGGCTGAGCTTTACAATGCAGGTAAGAAGATGGCTGCTCATGATTACTACATTTTCCCTACTTGGAAAAAATATTTACCACTCAACTATATCTCAGTTGGACTAGTTTTTTCAGAGCAGAAGATCAAAAAACACAAGGCCAAAGATTTCTTGTATTTTTTAAAATAATGTTTCTCTGGATATGCAAAAGATTGAAAGTAAAAATTAGTCCAAAGGACATTAATATCTTAATTTTAAGAAACAATACTAATATGCTAAGTATTAATTTAATCACTGCCTTATAATAAGTATAAGTATCATTATGATTAGCCTCATAAATGATATTTATAACCAGATCATACAGTTTGTAATGCCACAGGTGCCTTATTATTTTGTTAATTTTTGCAGGGGTTTTGTACATTGCTTTGGGTTTTTGAGATATCTGTTTTAATAAAGATTTCTGTTACTGGTGTCTCCATATAGGTGCTATGGATTTCAAGAAATTACTGTCATCACAGTGGAGTCTCTTCTATTCACAAGAGATTTGCACTTGCAAAAATATTTCATTTAGCTCTTTCCAGTGGGAATTCGACCTGCCAAACATGATATTCTTTTCATTTTCTACACACACGCAAAAAAAACATCTCCTCAAGCATGCAGACAAGAAGTCAGTCCACAAACCACCTATTTATTCTGAAGCTCCTCTGAATCACAGAACAGTCTGCAGCCAGAGTGTATTTCTGGTCACTGTGTGTGCATAGTGATAATTATTCATGGTGCTTGTGTACACAGAGCGCTTGTTCAGATGAATCTTCCTCCTCCGTCTCATCGTGGCAGTGCAGAGCGTGCGTTTGAATCACGGCTCCATCCGTCTCCCAATCCCCGGCTCCCACTTTTACGTCACCTCTGATGAAAAGTCCTGCTGCTCACTATCGGAGACACTTCACGGTATACTAGCACTGTAATGAGTGAAGATGGAGTGCATTTGAGTACCTGTTCTAGAAAAGCTTGGAGCGTTGCCTGCTGGTTCCAGACGAAAGCAGTGATTTATGAAAAGTTTGCTTCAGTTTTACAAATGAAGTCCTTTGTATAATATCGTGTGCCTACTGTCTTAGGAACGAAGGCTGTTGTTTATGGCCTAACCAATTCAAATGAAATTGCAAGACATTTTGTTGTGAAAAACAACACAGTAAACCTCAGAACCTTATGTGTCGACCTTCTCTGGGGCAATTTGCATGCAAATTTGCTCATGTTGCCCCAGTGCACTGATTTACTGTGATTTACTCTGACAACCACAAGTATAGTAAATGTTTACGGATCCCTCTGGAATTAGAAATTAAAGGGAAACATAACTCAAGTACCGTGTAGCAAATTAGGGCTTTTTTTTTTTGTATCAATGAATTCTATTTTTTGTATGAGTCAAGTGGCAAACATTCACTGCTCAAGTGTGAATAACACCAATGCTGAAGGACCTCAAAAGACAGCAGTGAAAATATTTTAATACTGTGAGATGTCTACTAAAACACTCAACTAAAATTAATTTTAAATCAACTCAGCTCTACAGGAGAACATACTTTTACAAATTGGATGTGATTTTATAGTTTGGAAATGGTGTAGAAGAAAGAATGAAGCCAACATTGAATTAATTCATAATGCCATAAATAAAACCATGATATCTATGTGAGTGATTGTGGGGATTTTCTTCACCATTTGAAATAGATATTTTAATATTCTTTATTTTAAAGAAATACAATTTTTACATAATACTACACGTTCGGTTGTCACTCTGTTGCTATTGTTCCGTTGCATATTGACATAAATAGCAAATCAGCAAGTCATATCACATCGACTCAAGACAGTCGAGTATCTAAATGTGGTGGAGACGAGTTGCTGAAGTTCAAACTGAGCGTCAGAATGAGGAAGAAAGGGGATTTAAGTGACTTTTAACATTGCTGCCAGACAGGCTGATCGGAGTATTTCAGAGACTGCTGAGCTTGTGGGATTTACACGCACATCAATCTCTGAGGTTTATAGAAAAGAGTGCAATGCCTTAAAGATGCCAGAGAAGAATAGTGAGACTGGTTTGAGTTAATAAAAAGGCTGAAGTATCTGAAAAAAAGCATTATTTCTGGGTTTGTACTATTTTATTTTATTTTTTTTATTTACAACTGTCATAATTCTTTGTGGCATAGATTAAACGTGTTGGAATCATTCCGCAAAAGATTTTCATCCATATTGACATGATAGCATCACACAGTTTCAGCAGGTTTCTCAGCTGCTCTTCCTTGATGCAAATCTCTGATAGTGCTTTTTTTTGCTTTAATCTCCAACCAGTCTGTGCATTCTACCCTGAAGGCTGAAAAAGCATTTTGTGTTGCTCACAGGACATTTTCTCTTGTTTGAACTGTTCTCTTTTAATTCTATAGATGGTTGTAGGTTGAAATCAGCCAACAGCCATGCCACTTTCAAAGGCAGCTACATCCTCTGTTTTTAACATTTTTTGTGTCTAAAGTGTATAAAAATACAAGACATTTTTTGTATGCCTCATTTTTTTAGGGAGATACCTTTGTTGTATTCTACTAGTAAACAAACGTCATTTGTAATTTTAATCTTCCATGCATAAATATGTAATTGTGAGGGATAAAATAGCCCTCGTAGGCTTGCATCTTACTGAAACATTTTTTAAGATAGCTGTTAAATTTTTTATTTATCTTTGAGAAAATCCAAGAAAACCAAAGGAAACCATCACCACTCCAGTTGTCAATGTTTTGTTTTTCAATTTATTCTTCCTTTTTGGTTGGCCTTTGGCCAGAAAGGTAAGTCTGTGCTGCTTATAGGTTAAAAATTGTTCTATATGAAAGTCTCCACACTGAAACTGCAGCAGTGACAGTTTAGGTCCCTTCACCCACCAGGGGGCGCTGAGAGAAAGTAGTCTTGACACCCATTGAGTTTCATTTTGTTCCTTATTTATCAGCATCTCGAGGCCTTGGCCATCTGTTCAACTCTAAAGGTGTACGATGCAAGCCATAGGCAAAGTTATTTTTATCAGCAGACTGATAAAAAATAGAAAAAATAAATAAAGAAAGAAAAGAAAAGCAAGGGGAAAGAAGTGCAACAACAACAAAACCCTCAGTTGTCACAGGCTTGTTTAAAGGTGAACTGCTGCCTTCAGGGGAACAAATAAACCACAGTTCCTTCAAAGAGTTTTGTTTTTCTATCATAATCTTTTGTTGGATCAACTGAGCGCATCATGTTCTGTTTAATATTTTCAGCATGTTTCACTTCAGATGCAGGCAGGCTGTTTTATTCCTACTCTGCAGTAAAATAAGTCAGAAAAAAACTGAGTCCTTATGGAATGTTTAGTGTTTTAAACTCTTCAGCATTGATGAATTCTTATTTCTGCCTTGTGATGTTTTTAAAGATGTCTGAAAAGATTAAATTTAGACCTAGAAATAGGCAATTATTTTATTTAATGTTAAATGTGCTTGACCTTGAGGCTGTCTACCACAATGCAAATGAAATTGTGCATACCCTTCAGCCCCCACTTCACAAGCTTCTGAAATCCACAGCCACTAAGTATGTCAGAGGCTGAGTTTTGTCGTCGAAAACTGAAACCGCAGAGAAGGAGAGTGCAGAAGAAATTCAGTGGGCTGAAAAAAAGCTGATTCTTCAAAGTGAAGGGGAAATCTGTATTTGCGGCAGAAACTCAATATAAAGAAAACAAAAAAAAGTGAGCTGATGCGCGACACACTAAAAATATATGTGAGCCCAGAATAGCAATGCATGCAATCTCAGAATGGTTTAGTGAAGTGATAGTTAGGACATTAGGCACATGCTGAGTGGACTTATGCTGCTTCTGCACTGTTTTTAGAAGGGAATTTTATGCCTTTTAGTCAACTCTCTCTCCACTAACTTTTAGGTTCTCATGTCTTACAAAACAAATTACCAGTAAATGGAACATAGAAAACGAAACTGATGAATGATGCATTGTCATGAGTTTTTAATTTGGGTCACAGCTGATTTTATCCACCAGCCACACTAACTGCAAAAAATCAGAATTAAGCTCCATGAGACTTTGCCATAACTCTGACCAATTTTTCTCTTCCTGCATAGAAAATCTTCCCCACTGCATAATGTTGCCACTGCCATGTTTCACTGTGGGGATATTATGTTCAAGGTGATGCTCAATGGTATTTTCTGTGTGCCACGGTGTTTGGAATGTATTCAGAAAGTTTCTTTTTTAAATCTCTTCCAACCAGATAACTTTCTTCCACATGGTTATTGTATCTTCAAATCACTGATTCCAGACCTTGGACCTCACAGCAGCTCATTTTTCAGATATTGTACCTTAAAAAAAGAAAATCCTTTAGTTTTTCTTACCATTTTGCAGTTGTCTGCTACTTTGTGTTGGGCTATCAAACAAAATCCCAATGAAATAGAAATTTGAGGTGGACAAAAAGAGAAGAATTTGAAGCAGTATGCATACTTTTTTTGCAAGGCACTACATCTGAAAGCGGAATTCATGGACCTCATAAGTATTCAATGCTTAACACTACATGGCCTTTAAATATATAACCTAACCTGAAGTAGCAACAAGCGATGATCAATGCAGTACAGTGAGCCGGCAGCCAAGGAGTATGAAAGCTGCTTGAATGAGTTTTTCCCTCTTCACTTTGTTTGAGCTGCTTCCTATCGCATGCTCATTATTATGGGAGGAGAGGATGAAGAAGATAGAGCTCAGAGAGTTAAGGCCAGCACTACTCCTGTGACAGTCGGGTGGAGGTAAGGTGCAGAATATTATAGAGGAAGACTGATTAAACAAGCAAACAACCCTCTGTCCTCCAGCACTTTTACACCTGCAGCTAAAAAAAAAAAAAGTTAAATAAACATAATCATAGAGCTGGCAGAGGAGCTGTAAATACCCCACGGGAAAGGTGGTTTACTCATTTATTGGCTATATTTTCATGCCTCCAACTGGATTGCTTTCTCCTCTTCCCTCATTTATGATGTTTGGATTTACATGTTTTTACTGCAAAGCAGGGCAAACAACCAAAACATGTCAAAAATATCTAAAAATCACAAATTATGACATATAAGACTCAAGGTCCTCAAAAGATTTCTTTTGGTCTGGGATATATATATACATATATAAGGCTGGTTTCACACACATTTATATATGTATGTGTGTGAAACCTGCATACCTGCTCTGCTAGAAACTACAAGCAAGCATTTCAACACAGTCACTCAATGAGCACAGGTGAAGATGTGAAAGAGTAAAATCAAATCCCTTTCTTAATCTCCTTAGCAGACTGATTGCATGAAGTAATTAGCAACAATTGCCTCCAAAGAAAAGTGCGCACCTGTTATCACTTTGCATCAAAATGGCCTCACAGGGAAGGAAGCTGCTGCTAAGAATACTGCAACACAAATAATTCAAGAACTTCAAGGTGAGATGAGTTGCAGTGAAGAATATGTTAG